AAACAATGAAAAATGCTTGTGCCCAAACAACGGTCTCCTCTCCTTGCTGCTGTCAGACTTCTTCCTTAAAGACTTGATGCTCGGCCACACCTTCGGGACTGTTCATCCTCGTGTTCATCAGCGCTTCACTCATGTTCAGATTTCGTGTCCACCATTACTTGCTTCATGCTCCTCTCTGTTCTGTTACAATCAACGGGGACACCCAAACGCAAGACACAGACTCAGAGTTAGAATGAATGGTGGCTAACTACAATCCCAATTGTCAGTGAAGGTGGATGGAGGTGGGGATTACAGTACATGAAGGCAGAGGGCGGAGGGAGGAAGGGTAGAGTAGAGGTGAAGGCAGGGTTGGGAGTGTGGCTGGATGACTGATCAGTCAAGAGTCAAAGCCTCATGGTTCTAAGTGGCCTGAGAACATGAGCTACCACACTAGCTGAAACAACCTGGATGAGGATCTTGGGTTGATATACTACTGAGTTGATGAGTACATGGATTGCAGGTGCACAGGTTGATCAGCAACCAGGAAGTCAGCAGAGAGAGAGGAGCGGCACACCCATAGCACAGACAGACAGACAGACAGACAGACAGACAGGCAAAACAGGCAGACAGGGGAAAGGGAAATACAAGATACACAATAAATAAACTGGAGGAATGGTGTGAAAATGTTTCAGCTTTCACTGGGGAGACATCATTGGAAAAGTCTGGGATCCACAGTACAATACTAGTTTGATTGTTCATAACTACTCTTTATGCATCAGTAGAGGACATATGTGTTACATAATGTAAAACTAGAGGATTGAAGATCTGTTAAATTGTCCTTCAGACCTGTGATGCTGTTAAAAACCGTCATGTGATGATCCAGAGTCATGCACACGTGATAATAGACCTTTTTCAACAGTTTTGACTTACCATAGTAGCAAAAATACAGGTGTAACCATAGCGACGGTGACTCAGTTCCATTAAGTGTCCCAGTAAGCCAACTTTTATTAAACCATTAATGTTTCATCAATGTTATTTTTACACCTGTGTTGTTCCTGCTACGACATGTAAAAATATGTCACGTGAAAAATGTACCATGACCTATGAACTCCAGGTTACCATGGGCCAAACTACACAATAAAACTCTTTTAAAAGTCTTTTCAAAGTAAAACACAATTTATTCATGTAAAAAAAGAGGAGCAAATGAGTTACAGTCATTACCATTAAATACCATCCCACTTCTGACTGTGCTTAATCATCATACAACAGCCATGACTGTGTGGAGAGTCAGGGGGGTGGAGGGAGTCATTATTGTTGACTTGATGTCTGTTAAGTGATTGAATGGCTGTGTACTCACTCAGGGTTTCATAGATAGATAGATAGATAGATAGATAGATAGATAGATAGATAGATAGATAGATAGATAGATATTATTTATCCCCTAGGGTAAATTCATGTTTGGTTTGGTGTTGTTGTGTGTTTCCATGGTGCACATCATCTGTTGTTTGTTTGTGCTTGGCTGTTTGTGTCATGTGGGTGTGTTCCTTTCATTAGTTGTCTGTTTGCATGTGTGTGTATGTGTGTGTGGGTGTCTTGTTTGCGGGTGTGTATAAGTATATGATTGGTCAGGGCAGTCCTAGGAGGCGAAGGTCAAAGTAAGCTGGTTGTGCAGGGCCTGGATAAGCTGCCGGATTTGACTAATCTGACAAGGAAGGACGTGGAGAGGTGGGTCAGTAGGCCTGTGACCCTGACACACACCTGCAAACAAACACACTTACTTACACAACTCTGTCATTTCTATACACACACACATCAGCAGGTAGGTTATGTCAATACACTCAGCTGGAGCATGTTATGCTTGGCTCAGGATAAGCTGCATTGCAGTGTCTGTCTCCTGTTTCATGTGCAGATTAAATGTAAGGTGTGCCCTTTGGTGGACAGTTTATTGCAAAGTGCTTTACAATAGGATGTGACTGACTGATTATTTTACAGCAACATTGACTCATGGCTAGATAGATAGATAGATAGATAGATAGATAGATAGATAGATAGATAGATAGATAGATAGATAGATTACAACACACAATCTAATTCTTAGGCAGTGATTCGTTGTTACTATAGTTACACCATAACTGTCAGGCTAATTTAGGCATAAAGCTAATGTTGGCTTGCTAATATGGTACCTTGGAATTTAGAATGAGGAGTTAAAGTCAGAATATAGTTAACACTTCTAACATGGCACTTCACTAAAATGCTGTTTAATAAATATTTTAAATTACATTTCACAAAAATAACACAACATACATTAAATTACAAAACATTATCCCTGTAATTTTAGAGTACAACTGAGTGTTAGCTAGGTTAGCATGACCGAATAAATACGACTTATTTTCAACTGATTGAATACTGCTAACTCTGAAACACACACATTTCTCTGTGTATGCAAATAAAACAATGTATCACAGACATACAATGACTAGTGGTTAAGATTTAAATTGGCTATATCATCAGCAAATTACTGCCTTAAAACTGGAAATTTTGTACACAGTTGATAGGTTGGTTTTTCTTTGCTTTCAACATGGCTAACAGTTTTCTAGAACCCAATTTTCACATTGCTACGGACCTAACAAGCTACCAATGAGTTTATGGGTAGCTGGTACAACCCAGTCTTGAGTATGGCTGAATGATATGCAAAAAGTTCACATTGCCATTACTTTGGCAGATGTAGTGATATGAGTCATGACTAAGCCTATAGTGGGAATTGTAATTTTTGTATTTTACTTTCATTAAAAAATATATTATATAACATATAACAGTATATAACATAAAATGATGACGATGATTTTTGTTGGGTATTGTACCAAACAAGTATATTCCTTTATGATTTGTAGGTCGGGGGCATCACAGTACTTCATTTGTGGTAAGTGGTGACAGATTTTACCTTTGGATGTTGCACTTGGACATAGTGCAATTTCAATAATATTTCAATTAATTGTGCAGCCCTAGTCTTGAGGAAGTCATATTGTTTAGTTAATAGTTTCACAACCCCTTAGATTTATTGTGTTACCCCTAATAAAGAGCATAAAAAACTATTTATAAATATATCTATCATGTCAAAGTGGGTGTAGCCTGACATATCTGCATATTTGTAACCATAGAAAAATGGTGGAGAAGACTTGTCCTATACCCGGAATGAACTGAGTACATGTGAGCATTTCTATGCTTCAGCTTCACCTCTTAGATCTCCATCTCCAGCCATGACAACCAGCCCAAGATGGAGAATATATTGAAATGATTCCAAAGCTGACAAGGAGTTACAGAGCTCTGTGGTAGAAAAAAAAAACCTTTTCCTTTTGCTCCCTTCCCCCTCAGCAGTCACGCAGCTCCAGGAGGGATGTGGGATGCTTTTCAAGATGCCCATCCCCCTCTTTCTTCTCCTTCTCCAGCTTTGTGTTTGTTGGTTATTGAGCTGCAGTCAGATGGCTGTGATCATACAAACCTGGGATTTGGCCAGCAGATTACTCTGAAACACACTGGATGGCTGGCGAGGATCAAGCCCCCGTGGAGGCTTTCTTTCATCTCCTGTGCAGAAACCTCCTCATTACTGTCTATTCAACCTCGACATGAAGATTAGTCATTGTAGGAGAACCGGTGGGTTGGGTTCCTTGGTAAAAGCTTTCATTTGTTCTTAGAATATAATTAGCGTCCAGGCCTTTTTGTCTTGAAGCACAAATAAAGACAATGACAAGGTGATAGGTAGGTAAATAAGGGTTTCAAATGTTTTATTCCTTTAATATCACTGGCAAATATAAATTGCTGCTCCACAATTCATTTCCAAAGGGTTTTTTTTTTCCCACATTTGAAGTGATTTCCTTAGAAGACAGTGTCCAAATTCCACAATTCTTAAAAAGTAAGTGCACAAAACATCCACCTTTAAGTAATTGTTCAACAAACAGACACTTGACCTTTCTGAAGAGAAAGGTGGCAGGCGACGACGATGTTCATGGAGCGATGACGCGGTGTTGTCTGTGTGTTCGTGTGTACTGTGTAATGCATGAAAGCACCACGCCTGAGACTGTCACAATGAAAAGGAATGACCCTCGTGATACATTTCGATATATCATATACACTCATACATATCATATACTTCTGTCAGGTCGTACATTTGTGTCTGTTTTAAGGCATTATCAGCCACTTTGTATGCAGGGACAAAATGTGCAAAAACCAAATATACACATGAACATGAGTTTCCCCTGATGCTGAAACCTGTAGCTTAAACAACTGGTCTGACTGTAGTCTTGTTCTTTGAGAGATTCCACACCTGCTTCTTAAGGCAGATGCTTAGAGCACCAGGGTTTTCGTAAAGGGGAGGTGGGGGTGGTGAGGAGCAATAGTTGTGAGAGCACACGCACACACACTCCCACCTCGGCACCATGGAGGCCGACGCAGCATGTGGAGGAGGGAGTCGCACTCACTCTTGGGTGCATGTGCACACACACACACACACACACACACACACACACACACACACACACACACACACACACAGATTGGCGGAAGACAGACAACAGGCCATGGATGGAAAAAAGGAGGAACCATGAGACGACCACAGACAGACATTAATGCTTAGGTTAATACATGGAGTCTTTGTCAAGTGGACTTTTTTTTGCATTTTACTAGTAAACAAATGAACAGAAAACCAGAACAGAAAGAGAGCCTTACAAATTCTTTTTAAACCACCCACCCTCTACCACCCCAGAAAAAATTTCTCTCTGAAGACAGTGACGAAATAAATAAACACTCACGCACAGTTGCACATACCGTATACCCATGCACGCACCTTCACCTTCCGCGAAAACATCTGCACACTCAAACCTACTTTGCAATACATTTCCCCTTTAGACCCCTTACAGCGTGGCTACACAGTTCCTCTCCGTTTGAAAAGGTTTCAATTTTGACCAAAAAAAAGAAAAAAAGAAAAAGAAAAGCAGCATTCCACACTGAATGGTTTAAACAATCGCATATGTATTTTTCTAATTTTCAGTTTTTTTCTTTTTTTTTTTTTTTTGGTTGTACCATCTTCATGCTTTAACTGAGATTTACAAGTGGCAGATGCAGCAGGAGCAGGGGAGATTCCTTTGGCGCCGTGCTGCAGGGTTGAGGACATGTACGAAGGAAAAGCTGCAATCCTCTCCCTGCCAGGGATGATTTTGAACCAAACAAAGCACTAACAGCCATTTTGTTTGAGGTTCTCAGGCACGGAGATGGTCAAACAGGCAACACACAGCTTTGCCAGAGGAGCCATCATCACTGCGCTCACCCCAGCCACCAGCTCCTCTCACTTATACACTTTTTTTTTTTTTTTTAAATTGACATTTTTCGAAAAACAGATTTGTTTTTTTATTATCCCTCCGTTAAAGGGTAAGATGGCTTTGCAAACAGCTAAAAATTAGAACCACAAAGAAAACATCATTTCCTAGGAGCACCGTGCCGATTTCTGAACAGACACAAAAGCCTCGAGGCACAAGAGACATTTCTATTCTCTATTCTATAGATTGACTAGGCTGTGCAAACAAACTACACATAGGAAACTCTCAATAAACCTCACAAGAAGAACATAGGCTATGACTAATTAAATATATTTATATATATATATATTCATCTATATATTTAGTATATCTAATAAATACATTTGTTGATAGACATAGAAATCTTTCTGTAAACTATTTACATTAAAAGGTGTACATTTTTGCAGAAACAATAAATAGCTATCAAGGCAAGGCGAAGGAGAGAAAATCTGTGGTTTCAACATTTTTGTGCTCTTCAGATGTGAACACTCAGGAAGAGGCGAGCTCCCTCAGCGTGCTCCCACTGAAGAGTCAAAGAGAGTCGTTCAGCGTGACTCGTCTCAAGCTGAACTCTCCCTTCCTCAGTAATTGGCAGGAACATCCATTCGCAAAAAATAATGCTATCAGCCTCACCTGCCTGTCCTCTCTACGTAGTGGAATGTGCTCCAGTCTCTCGACTGCTCTCAGTAGATAGGATCTTTCCCTTCCTTTTAATACCTGGTGAACGGGGCAGTGAAGAAGTAGTGTACAAAAAAAATGTACCAGCACCTGCCAAAAATATACCAGCATTCGGCCTGGTGGCTGGTGTTTAAAGTTTCCAAACCTACTAGTGACCCCTGTCGTCGCCAGGCTCAAACATGACACACACACATATGATAAAAGGATGCTGTAAAAACGCCACCGTCATCAGAGAGAGGCAGAAAACATCAAACCCACCCACGAAAACCCTCCCGTACACCCCGGCCCCTTCACAATCTCATGCTGCACAATTTTTTTTTTTTTTTTTGTTTGTTTTTGTGTAACTTTCTCTTCAGAACTGCAGGCGTGACATAAAATTACAGGGTAGTTACGAGATTGCCCGCCAAAGCCTGGGTACTAAGGGACGTATTGCTGTTGGCCCCGACAGGTTAGTTTAGTGTCCACAAAGTCTGCTGCACCGCACAGCACAGGCAGACCACTGACATGTTTCAAACACTCACTTCTGGTAACATTACTGCAACAGCTGCAGCGGGGGGGGGGGGCTTTTAGTTTTTAAGAGACAGTGTTTGAAAAAGATGACACAGTTTTGTTTACAAAAGCAATTTTAAGTGCAAATTACCATGCACAGATGGTTGACTGGTGAGCAGGGCAGAAAAAAAGCCCCGCATCATGTCAGTGTCACACCTTTGGGAGGACTTTGTCTCACTGGACAACTAGGAGCGATGGAGGGGTGTGTGTATGTTTGTGTTAATGTATGTGTGTGTGAAGGGTAAAATCTCATAAGTGCTTCCCATGGCTCTTGAGGCATAGAAAAAGAGGCAGTGGGATATTGTGTGGTAACATTCTCTGGCTGAAAGTTGTGGTTCTGACGGACGGGGGGGATGGAGGGGATGGAGTGTCTTTAAAATCCCACTCGTTTGATTGGTGCAGAGCGGAGCGAGTGACACCCTAAAGACTGACCGCTGATGATGGACTAGATGTGGGCGGGTGTCTCAGAGGTGTTGCAGAGGTAAATGTAAATCACCATGGGGACAGGAAGTCTGCAGAGGCCCAGCTAGAGCAGAGGCCTCAGACTTGGTCAGTCCTGGTGGAGAGGGAGACAGGGAGGGAAGGAAGGAAGGGGGGGGGGAGGCCTGAGCGGGACCAGGGAGTGGTGAGACAATCTTGGGACGGGATTGGCTGAGGGGAGAAGGTGGGTGTTGGGTCAGTGCTGTTTATAGGCTGCAGCCCAGCTGCTTGGCCCTCTCCTGAGTGTCCTGCAGGCGCTGCAGGCTGGCGCTGGAGTAGCCCTCATCACTACAGCTGCTGCGCAGGCTGCCTCGCTCGTCCCCTGAGTCGCTCACACTGCTGGTGCTCCACTCTAGGTCACCCAGCAGGTAGTCCGTGCCCTCCACATCCACGTCCAGGTCCTCTGTTCCCACACAGGGGACACAACAACACGGTGATTAGAATGAGAGATGATAACGCTGATTTTTACATTTAGCTGATTCTGGGTCATTATGACAAGTAAAATGGTATCATTTCACACAGCGCTTCTTCACGTTAGATCGTCCTCACTTTATGAAGTTCATCTTGAACAATAGTTACATTTTGTTGTATCTTAGGCTGCAAGTACCCGACGGATTGCACAAATTTCATTGGACAACTTGGTAATTATTTTTATTATCAAGTGATCTGATTGTCTCGATCAATCAATTAATCATTTACCCAACACAATGTCAGAAAATAAGGAATAATGTTTGAAAAATGACTTAAAATATCAATCAATCCATTCTGTTGATCGACTAATAAATTTAGTGACCAGTTGTTTCAGCTCCAGTTGTATCACTACAGTGTTTTATAAAGAAGGTTCACCAAACTTCAGAGTGCTTACCCTGGTTAAAAATACTGTAAACACTAAACGTTACAGTGTGTTTGTTTCATGTTTGTGCCCGAGCAGTGATGTAGATGAAGGCGCAGTAACTGAACCTGATGCAACTGGCTCCAAAAAGCTTCGTCACCGCAGACATGTCATTACAGAAAAATTTGCAATAATTAATACTTTCTGCATTTTATTTCATTAGTGTCAGTTCCAGGTTCCTGCATTGTGCATGCCGCCTCAGTGTCGAGGCTTATTCAAGTTGAACTGAGTCATCATTAACATTATTAATTACACGTGTGTTCTCATTGCTTTTCCCACTATGAGAAGCTTAAATGACGACCGTGAAAAATGCCTATCATAAAAATACCTACTATATAAAAATATATACAACAGTTTATGTATATTACCGACTGGTGCGGAAAGGTTCTGTATCATAAGTAGGAGACGATCACACCTGCTGGATCAACGACTTTATGGAGTCGGAGTCAGTATTTTATGTCCGTGTGCCTGTGTGAGACTCACCCTGATCGGAGTCGGACTTTTCGGAGGACACAGTGGAGCCCGTACTGTCCATGCGGGTCCTCTCCACCCCCAGCTGCTCCAGACGCCTCCTCAGGTGTCTCTGCTCCCGCTGTAGCTGCTCCAAGGTGTGCTGAGCTCTCCTATCGCTCTCCTCCAACCTCTGTGGGGAGGGAAGATTAAAAACGCGACACTATGAGACAGACACAGTACCAACGCACCGCAGCGGTCAACACGTCGCCCTCTTCATTAGGCGAGTACCACACACATGCATGCGGGTACCTTGATGTGATCTTTGGCCTTCATCAGCAGGCTGAGCGTGGTGTGCCTGTTAGCATCTGGTCCCAGGGGAACGAGGGATTTCAAACGCTCTAAACACAGTCGTAGATGTGCCCGTCTGGAGAGAGAGAGGGAGAGAGAGGAATACAAGAAATCTGTCAAACACCATTACTTCATTTCCTTTAAAAAACAAGCAATGGAAATTAATTATTTAACAATGGAAATAAAAATGAAAACACAAACACAGAGGCAAGAGATCCATTGCTGCTTAGAGCTTGTGATGTGTGTTTGTTATTGTTATTCACTCGGATGTTTGAGCTTCACTGTGCAGTCATTCATTCCATGAACATTCATCTGCTTGTGCCGACACATCTCACATCTGAGTTTGAGATTTCAGCCCAGACTAACTTGCTCAAGTGACTGTGACATCAGAGTCTGGAGACCAATCATGGCTCAGCATGAAACTCAAGGCCACACACAGTAAGAAACTTCTTGCATCAAGTGGTAAAAGTTTTGAAGTTTTAGAAATATTCGCATATTCATAGATGAAATTCTGTTGAATGAGTAGATATAAGAGGTTTTCAATGACATAATTCAACTTATTGTAGAAAAGACATTCCAGACATCGTGTGACCCAAGACACTACTAGATTTCATTAAGAGAGTCCTTCACTCCTATAACATCATTTGACTCACTGTGTACAGTTTTTTTTTTTCAAGGTACAAAATCAATGTAGTAGAAATATTCTACTATAATTATAGTCATTTTTATTTTCATTTAATTTTCCATGTCTTTTGGTGCGCTTTGTAATCTTTGAGAGCGTAGATACATGAACACACTCAGAATTCAAACACAAATAACATGGGTTAGGGTGCCCCATGTAGTGCGTTATATAATGTAGTAAATAGGGAGAGACTTCAAACACAGCCACTCCTTTTTATTCTGTGCATTCTTCTTCCTTGTCATATCCTGCTGCCTACATCACCCATAATGCAATTGGCCCAAAAACAGTTTGGTCAGAGATTTCAGTGTCTTAGGCTAGTCGTGGCTAAACCAGCTCGAGCCTCTAGCCTTAAGCAGAGATGAGGAGCGAGCTACAGAGGTCATGTCTTCCTAACTCTACACCCCCAGATGTTTTTCCACTTTCAGATTTGTAGTCTTCAGCCCCAACACAAGCTGACTCAAGTGACATCACATGAGGCAAGGCATCAGACTTCTGGAGCCACAACAGGCTTTGCTGTTTTGATGGAGTTCCTCTTTAATGAAACTTTGGAATGAAGAGGTCAAGATGAATATCATCCGACATTGAACAGAAAAAAATCCCTTAAATGTTAATTTAATTTGTATTTGCTCTTTGAGCTGCTGCTACATGTGCACTGTACAGTTAATCACCAATATCAAGAGGCAGTGAGAGACAGGTCCGGCCATGTAAAATACCTGTGAGGCCCTCACATGTATATGTCTTCCCAGGAAGCCAGCATTGTGACATTATTACATAATGTTGCTACAAAAGGATATTTCGAGCAGGGCGATGTACAAATCCTGCCTTGACGAGAGGAAAACAGAAACGTGGCGAAATCCAAAGATCAACTGCGACATACGTTCAGATCTGAGCTGATTATTAATGTCACCTGTCCTCTAACACAGTCCACATTTGAATGTCTCATCTCCACTCCACTTCCTCCCGTATGGCTCTGAGCTAGCAGCCTTGGCAGTTGCTGAGGTCTGGTGGGTGTTTGTGACCACTTGACCCTGCTGTTACACAACACACACCTCCAGCTCCAGCCGTGGCAGAGTGTGTACGTGTCTGTGTGCGCCTGTGTGTGGCTGAGTGAGTGGGTGTGTGTACGTCAGACTCTTCCTGTGTAAAAATGTTATTTTGGCAGCTGAGAGCTGGCTGGATGAGCTGTTCATTTATTTCCTGCTGCAGGTAATCCTGATGTGAGCGTCACCGCCGGAAAGAGTTTATTCAAAATCGCATGCAGAGAGGAGAGGACTGATTTGAATGTGGGCAGAGGACACACAGAAATATATTCTTACCCCTTGCCCTTTTAAAAACACACACACACACACATCACAAGTGAAGCCCACACACGCACATACAAAGCAGTATTCAGCAGCTGAAGCGAAGTGCCTGTTTCTCAGCTGACTCAGTCCAAAGGGCATGCAGACTGTCATTACATAACATGGAAATGCCCTCGCCCGTTTTGTTCTGACATAATAAGGGTTCAACAGAGCCAGATAATGTTTGTTAAACAACACTGAAGAGCAGCAGACTCATGAAACTGAACGGGTCACATGGTGTCTGTGAGTGAGAGAAAACACAGCGGGCGTGGCAGCGACACACAGCGCTATTTCAGCAACAGGTTATTCTAGTTTAGTGTGGCTTCAGTGCAGTGTGTCAATAGGTGAGTATGTATGGGGAGCTACAGGTTTGTGTGTTATCAGCTATCAGCCTGAGGCCAGAAACTACATTTCTCTGTCCTAATTCCACACACTCGTGTCCTCTTCAGACACACTCGACTGGTCTGAGTGCAACTGTTTGGTCTGAAACACGGTGAACGTGCGAGTCCGACTTGTTGCAAAAAAAAAAAATTGCAGCTGGGCGGTTTCTTGGAGCCCAGAAAGGTTTCTCTTACAGCAGCTTCTCACCCACTGAAAACGACAACTAGGTCAGCATCATGAACTCTGCCTGACCAGCAGTAAATCACCACACCACTCTCCCTCTTGCCCTCTGACCCCCAGTAGTAACTGCCCATGACTTGCTGGGAGGAACTTGCATGTAAAAAGAAGGTGCGGTGGTGGCTGGAGACGTGTTAAGCGAACACACACGCATACTGCCGTGCCTGTGTTTTATGAAAGCCAGAGGGGTTTGGAGTTTTAGAAAATGGGGGTGCTGGGTCTTGCATTCCTCTGGCTTTGCTGTGTACTGGGTCACCATGAGTAATATACTGTCTGCCTGAGATGACTCTCTATCATCAAGCTGCTGCTGCGAGAAACTGGCTAAAGGCTATGAATGTTCTCAAGTGTAATACGACTGCTGCGGTCATAATTTTGAATTACTGCTGTGCATGACACACGCACGCACGCACGCACGCACGCACGCACGCACGCACGCACGCACGCACGCACGCACGCACAGGTCTCAGTGCCATATATTATTCAGGCCGTCCACTAAGCTGCTGGTTTGGATCAGCTAGCACAGGCAGGACGGGGCACTCAGGGTGACGTGGACTCAAAACAAAAGATTCATATTTAGACCTAAAACGTCTGGTTTCATTTCTGCTTGGGTTCATTAAAAACACACGCAGCCTGTGATAAAATGTGACTTCATCTTTCATTGCAGCCTGATACGGTTACATAATACATCATACAGTTACAGTATCAATAGGGGGTGTGTGATAAATTATCTGTAGAAAATCAGTTTCCTCAGTGTTTTCTGTGGCAAACAAGCTAAACTCAGAAAATCTAATACTATATTAATGTACCACTCCTGTTGCTTTTGAAATGCACATTGAGGGCCTCACTGTCACTGTCCATTAGTTTCATCAATGATGGGAATACAACTAACCGTTATTTTCATTATCCATTAATCTGTTGATTATTTTCTCAATGAATTGTTTTCTCTATAAAATGTCAGAAAGCAGTGAAAAGTATTCAGATTGTTTCTTTTATTCAAGCTACTGTCCAAGACCAGAAGATAAACAGTTTGCTTTCACATATGACAAAGAAAAGCAGCAAATCTTCACATCTGAAAAACTGGCACTTTCGTTAGAAAAATGATTAAACCAACTATTCGATTATCAAAATAATTGCTTAATGATTAATTTTTGGTTGATTGATTAGTTGAGAAAGTTTGCAGTTAGGTTATTTCCTCTCAGCTTCTTTGCTGGTTAACCATTCGATCAGATAACCATCACCTCTTCCTGAGGTAAACCGGAAACGTAACAATGGACTGATGAACTCAGAGTTTTCATTCAACAGCTCAGTTGTAAGTTATTGAAACAAGATCAGCTGCTTTCAGGTGCCAAAGGGCACAGTGAGTCACCTGATACAACCATGATACCTCATTTGTCTCATCACTTTCAGAGGGGAGTGAGAGACCAGTGTTTCTGTTTGCACAAACCAATTTAAGCTCTGAACATGGAGCATTATCATGCATATTAATCTCTGTAATTTTAAATCTGGTTTAGCAAGCATACACTTGGGTATTTTCCTCATGATATGACTCATAAAAACCCCTGCACACTCTCAACTCAGCTGTTAACACTCTGATAAGGTTCCCGGGCCCTTCTGATATGATCTGGGACACTGACGCATGTTAACATCTTATCCCGTTTACTGTTGGTTTTCCACATCTGCAAAGGCACATTATACTTTTAACTGGATCACAGCACAAATCTTGTTTTCATTAGTACTTCTTCAATCACTCATCTTTATACTTCATTAGAAAAACACTGAGTTTGCAAAATAACACCCTGCTATGTGGAGGGACACAACCAGAGGAACCTTGCACCTTTGACCCCTGACAGGGCTGAGGCCTCCTGCCGGTCACAAGTTACCTGAGGCCAAAGTGAAGTCTTACGTAATAATAACAACGTAACAATGTATTTATTTAATAATGACGCAACATAATGTCAGTGCATGTGTTGTCATGCACTGTAGTAACACCGTAGTTGTGCAGTAACTGTAAAACCCCTGAAGACGTGCAGCAGGTGATTTATCAGATTTCATCCCTACTTCAATCTTAGTATGAGACCACAGCTCACTCAGTTTAAGGGCCTGTAGTTCATTCACTCTGGGCTGAATCAGTGGATGAGGCTTGTAAATTGTCTGTAAACTTGATGTGTTTTCCACTTGGTGCAGTTCCTTCTCACACAGAAAACAATCCACGCAGGCCAGAGCAGATCACTAAAAACCAGGTGAGAATGCTCTCGCCTCTCATTGGCTGTGAAGAAGCTCTTATCTGCCTATGAAGAAGGATATGTATTTGCTGGCTGGTCCAGGTCAGACCTCCAACTAGAGTATTCCTTGTAGTATAACTGATGTAGGATCACTTCCCCCATCACAAACAAAGCACTCCAGAATTAGTTTGTGACCATACCAGGACCACTTCCTCTGTGTGGTCCTGGTGCTCTCGTTTGGTCCACACCCAAGCAAAACTGCAGCGTTCAGGGGTTGAAGCAAACCCACGACCAATTAAATTTTACAGTCAAATGTTCAAGAGGAATCAGCCTTTTCCAGGACAAATGTGTCATTCATCACTCCTTATGCTTTTAATGTCCAAAGAGGCATCTTCAACTGGGCAACATAACTAAACTGTAGAGGACATTTTCACCCAGAATTAAAATTAGAAAAGAAAAGATGATAGAAAATGAAGACAATTTGGCGAATAAACGATTTAATATTTTACTACCAGGATAGATAATCAGGCCACAATTAAATATTAAAAAGAAAAAGGGAACTGAAAAAGGAATTGGATATTGAGATAAATCATTATAGATATTGTGATGGCACATTGAAAAACTAAAAGTGAACTTTAAGAATCCTGAAATTAATTTCTAGAAAATTACATAATATGAAAAGCCAAATATAAAATGGAAAAAGGCCAAATAAAAAAGGAAGGCAAGAAAAAATATAAAACATCTTCTTATTAATTTTGGTTTAAATAACATATTACAATCATTTAGGTATTTAAATTTAAACATTTACTTTTTGTCTTCAATTTACTGATTATTGACTGATCATTTCTGGTTTCCTTTTTCTTTTAAACATTTAATTATAGCCTGATTATCTTAAATACCGTTTTCTATTTTTCTATTTAAGTTTCCATTTTCCCTTTTAATCTTAACTCTGGATAAAATTATCATACACATTTAACAATGATTCTTAACCATCTGATCTGAGGAGATATTTCCTGTTGACAACCCATGATTTAGAGACACTTCCATGGTTACAGCGGGGGAGGGGGCTTTGGTGGAGTGAGCTGGTTTTCTTATGAATTGAGGAACAGCACCAACACAAACGAAATGAACACAAATGAAATTTTACATACCTGTTTTTTTCCATTTCATTGTGCGTAGACCTGTGGAGATAAAACAAAACACATATGAGAAAATGGCAGCACACATAATAACAGAGTGAGTGATTGAACAGGGGAAGATTTCCCCTCTGTGTGTGCCATCACTGCAGTCCAAGGCCTTACTGCAGGGGAGTGAGAGAGAGACAGAAGAGGCTGTGTGGGAGTTTATGAGCAGAGTGGATGACAAAATGAGATTCTAGGAAAAAGAGGAAAAGACTGGGTATTCTGATGCTCCTTCTACAGAGGAAAGTTGCTCTTTTTTTCTTTAAAAAGGACCACATTCAGATTTGTGATGAGGAGGCCGGAGGTAAACATAGTAACAGTAACCAGAAACAAGAGGCAGGACTATACCCCTTCATACTGCCTGGTTATCCATCGTGCATGTACTGAGTGGGCTGGGGGTGGGGAAAGACACAGTGCTGAGGGTAAACTGAGCTATGGTGGCCGTATGACTCCTGCACTGCAGTGTTAAAGCAGCACACACACACACACACACACACACACAGAGGGTTAAGAAAAGGGTCAAGTGTAGATTTTGGACAGAATGTGCTGGTCTGACCTGTGTGAAAAAGGGTAGGTAGGTGGTGAGATTGGGGGGACGGAGGGACAGAAAGCAGAGAAGAAGATCCCCTCTGCATTGCTGAACTCTCCTCTACCTCCACCTGACCCCCTGATCCCCCACCTCAGATCCCAAAATAGCCTGTGCTCCTTCAACTCTGCTAGGCCCGAGGCTGTCACCATGCCACGGCCAAGATATTCTCACAGGACTCTCACTCACACAGAGACAGAGAGAGAGACAGAGAGAGAGAAAGAACACACACATCTTGCTCTACCTCCATGTTTGACAGGTTACTTTCTAGACTACACTTAGAAATACTGTCCTCTACTATCCTCAGTCACAAGCTCTGAGCAGCAACGGATCTCTTGCCTCTTTGTGTGTGTGTGTGCGTGTGTGTGTGTGAGACTGTAGGGGTATCATCTTTTTTCAGCTTGTCTCGTTGGGTGCTCTCTATCTCACTTGGCCCCCTCCAGCCTTTGTGCATTCCTGTGCGGGCCAGACAGCCGCTGGTGACATAACAGCGCTCACAGGGAAACGATCCCACATATTCAGGCTAGATTTCAGGCTGTGGGACACCTCCCACCTCCCATCCGAGTCTGATTACCCTCTGCCCCTACACCACCTAACACACCCATGACGTGACAAGGTACAGCTCACAGCTGATATGAAGTAATACTGAGTGATGAGATTTTTCATTGGATTTTAATCCTGGACAATCACTTAGACCAGACTGACTTCTTCATTAAAAGAAAATAAATACCTTTGTCATCTACAGATCAAGGTGACTGCTGAGTTTCAAGATCCTCTTTCCACTTTGGTTAATTTACCTACTGACAAATTTGCAGTTTGAACAGAACAGGAAACTCTGGTTCCCAGCAGCCCACACAAGAGGCTGGAAAAACTGAGCTACATCTAAACTTTACTGCAGTTCTCAGCTTTCAAAAACAACTTTTTAAACATCATTAACAAAACTTATTACATGTATATTTGATATACCCTTTTGGATTTATTGAAATCAATCATAAATTTTGCATCAAGAGTCAATTTTACCCTGTAATTATGTGCTGGTGAAACTGCTTCCAAATAACCTCAAACCTGACTGACTGTATGTAGCATGTTGGCCACATAAATTCAGGGTCTGACTGGATCTTATTTTCATAGTTTTCTTTCAGTTATGATAAGATTTTCTTCACCAAATTAAGAACCAAAACCTAGGAACATGGCAAAAGCAGACAACAGACAGGATGTAAAGAAGCCAACAGTGAAGCCAGGTCATCTAAACATTTTGTCTGGAGGTAAAACTGAAAAGCAGCAGAACAGAAATGTTGGTGAGAATTCCTCACTGCTCAGAAAAAACTGTGCTCACACACATCTACAGGAAGCACAGAGGGTCAAAGGTGAACATGGAAGTTGGTCTGTAAGCTCCAGCAATAATAACTGACCACTGTTGACTTTCAGTTTCTCCTCTACATAAATGAGCTGGTGACAACAATCTGACTGTCAGTGTTAGGAATAGTGTTCAAAGCCTTGAAGCCAAGAATCAGGGTGCATGAAAGCTGACATTCTGTTAAAGAGGGAGACACTCAGCCCAGCACAGATCGGTATCATCTCACAATCACTTGTCTGACCAGTAATTGAGAAGGACTATTCTCGTCCTGGGTTTTGGTCTCGTTATCATCGTCTCCCTCTCTCACAAGCCTCTATCTGCCCGTTTAAAGAGAATGGGAAGATCAGTGTATGGTTTCTATAGTGCACTGTAGCAGGGAGGGGGTGGGGTGGAAGTGGTGGTGGGGCACTCTCCATCTATGTAATGGAGGAGCTGGTGCTCTCCACTGCCTGCCAAGAGCTGGAAAGATATGTAGGGGTGGAGGAGGTGAGGAGAGCGAGAAAACACAAGGAAGGAAGGAAGGAAGGAAGGAGAGAGAGAGAGAGAGAGAGAGAGAGAGAGAGATGAGGGGGAGGGAGGAGTCACTACTACTGACACACATGCACACATACACACCAGAAACATGGCGACTCCCCTCCCCCACTACTCACACATCCATGGCACAGGAAAAAAAAACTGGAGGAGCTTGTACATACTGGGTTGAATGACTTCACATACATACATACATGGCATCCTGCCATTCCTCCAAGTCTCCACACCACCAAAAATAAAAAACTACCATGGCTGATCAACCAATGACCTGTTCTTCTCTGGCAGAAATCAAGCAGCCCCCCCCCGCCCCCCCCAGAGGCAAATTCACTCAGTCACTATGCTGTCTGTTTATGATCAAGAGCCAACACCACACCAGACCATATCAAATCATCTCAGCTGTGCACAGACTCTTATTAATAACAAGCTGCCCTTAAACAGTAATGAGTAATAACTGATGAAGAGCTCACAGCTGATGAGGAAGTTGCTGCAGCTTAACCCAACGTTGCAGTTAAACAACAGTCAACGGTAGAGTAAAGGCTGGTGAGCTCAAAGGTTTCACTGCTGGAAACAAGGACAGATCTGCAGCAGCTTGGCGTCTACTTGACATGCTAAGCTAGTCCCACATTTTCTTCACTAAGCATGTCTAAAAATGTAGTGCAGCGTAAGCACGTTAACACACGAGCTGGAAGCAGGTACATTCCTGCAGCACTTCACGCCTTTACTGTGGCTTTTAGTGTAATGGTGGAAACGGACGATCAAACGTGTCACTGTCTTTGCCAACATTGTCAAGTCTGACGGACGTTATACTGGTGAACAGGTTCAGCCAAATATTTGAGTGGCACTAGTTTCCTTCTATAGGGCAGTATTGTCTGCACATGTCTGTAAATGTTAAGGCTGCAACTGATGATTATGAATTAATGATGAATGACTGAATTAATCTGCTGATTATTTTCTTGATTCAATCGATAAAATACCAGAAAATTGTGCAAAAAGTCTCGATCACAGTTTCTTAAAGTCAAGGATATTCAATTTGATATAAAACAGAGAAAGGCAGGAAATATTTAAACTTGAGGCTGAAAGCAGCAATTATTGACACGTTTGCTTGAAAATTATTTCAACAATTTGTTGATTATGAAAACAGTTGCCATTTATTTTTCTGTCCATCAACAAATCAATTCATTCCTTCACAGCTGCAATTCTAGTAGAGACACATATGAAAGATAAAATCTCTTCCTCTTATCAAGTCCACTAATGAGGTAGATGCATGTAATTATTTTGATTTCTCAAACGCAATTTTGACGGGAGCTGAAATGATTAGCCAATTAAACAATTAATCAACAAATAAATTGGCCATTTTGATGATGTTCAATATCATTTATCAAGAAAAAAAAAAAAAAAACACCAAACTTTCTGTTGCAGCTTCTCCAGTGTCAGGACATGTTGCTGTTTTACATCAGAGGGTTTTGGACTGTTTGGTCAGAATAAACAAAATACTTGAAGACCTCAGCTTGGGGCAAACTCCGAGTTCTTAAAACTGTTCAAACCAAACAATTAACTGAAAAAACAATCAACCGATTACAGCTGATGAAAATAATTAGTAGTTGCAGTCGACATAGTGAGATGTAGATAATGAAAAAGGGGCTGTGTATGCAGCCGTCTTGTGACTTTAGATCTGAGGATAATACAGCTGGATATACATTGTGTTACGGGGTTAACAGGCCTGTCCATAAACTTATTTATGTAACTGTTTACATGCGTCACCTCATGTGCTCTATACATTGGATACTGAACATGGCATTTGCCCAGTAGACACTTGAGCTCAGGCTATTCTTCAAACAAATTCAGTTTGCACAAACTAAATTGTGTCGTCCGACCGCATCTGAAATGTTTGTCGCTGTTATTAATACTCAAAGCCGAGGCGACACGCCTGCTGTCACAGAGAGCGGCAGGACATGATAATAGTTCAAATTGGGATAATGGTGCAGACTTCAAAGCATTCATGATGTTGCACTTGTTTTTACACAAGAAACGTGACAGAGGTGGTTGTATAAAGAAAGACCTCACCTTTGCACACACGGCCGTAGGTGTGTTTGCCTAATACTTGGTTTCAGAAAGCTGAAGATAAAAGTTGTCGGACACAGCTCCTCCCAATTTCCAAGTCAACAAGGTGTTGGAGAGGAGGGTTTTAGAAGGTTTCATCAATCACTTTGTCTGAAAGTGACACTTTTATTGCACTGAGGCACTGGATGTAGTAACTGCATTAGTTTGCATGCACAAAATGTCTTCCCATTCAGCAGGTATGCTAATCGATGAAATAAAGTTCTATTTTGTCTGATTAAATTCATAAGAATCACAAGGTAAGACATGGAGGTAAAGAAATACATACGAGTCAGTTAAAGATTTAGATGCTTGGAGACACTGAAACGTCGACAGTGTAAACAGGGCTGCGAAGTGTCTGTCCACAACATGTAGCACACTCTAGTCCCTGTGTACATCAGTGTTGTAACTTGTATGTATTGCATATACATTGGGCTCCGTGTGGTAAGAAGGCTATATATAAACCTATTTATATTCACCACCGCTTGTGCTCTGCACACACATTTCCACACATCAGAGGAAGACATTCACTCCACTGGAGGGTGGATGACTGACAGCGTGGACTGCTGTGCCTTAATGGCCGACATACCTGATGTGGGTTCAAGTAAGTATACAATCAGTCTGAATGGGTGACACTCTAGTCTGTACTTCTGCATTTCATTGCTGCTTCCCATTTAACATGGCATTTATGGTATCATATTGATTAACTGACACGCTGGGCGGTGCTTTGGGCCGTTAACCCCTTTATTCCGTGTTTTTACTGGTGTTTCATTCAGGGTTTTCGTGTTTATAGAAACATACTTTAGGTGATATAGAATATGATTCCACCAGCGCTTTTTCTTGCATTTTTACCCCCATTATGATGTTTGATGTGAACATTAATTGAAGCTCCTGACCTGTATCTATATCTGCACCTCTGTAACATACCTGGCTGATTGGAAAAACTGCATGAATAAGCAGGTTTACAGGTGTTCCTAATAGAGTGTACATCATCCTCCTCACCAAAACAATCGATGCACTCGAATTTTCAAAAGGACTTCACAGCTGCTTCATGAGTGTTCATTTCCCAATGACCCTACCTCACAGGATGTGCACATATCCCCCAGCGTGGGGTCATGAAGCCAAACTGCAATCTTATCACAGAGCGCACATCGATCTGTGGGGCGTTGATGCAACATGAATCTGTTCCCATAAGATTGATTTATGGAATTCAGGTTACAGACTCTGTATGTACACTATGTGTGAGCAGTAGTGTCCACTGAGGTGACTGGAGCTGCCAAGAGCTGCCCCCTCACTTAAATGTCTTCTGCAGTCACCTTGACTGACCCAGTTTGCCTGAGCAAGTGGCCGTTCAGACAGACTGATGTTTGCTGCTGTCAGTCACGCTTTACAGAAGACAATGGGAAGACTAAACGTGACCTTAGAGCAACAAACTCACACATGAAAGTGCAGCCACAGCTCTTAATGACCGACTACCCTCTCTGTAGAGTTATGAATAAATTAACCATTAGGCATGCCAAATTTCTACACTGTGTTTTTTTTTTGTAAAAACAAATACCTCTAACATCACATTGTTGTGTACATAACTGATATACACATTTCACTGTGTAGTCTGAAACAGCCAGTTATAAACGGTCTTCCAAATACCTAAATTGCTCTGTGCATACAGTTTGTCAGTGCCGTTGACAAATTACCTGTCAAGCCTTTGATGCTTTCCTGTCTGAGTGGAGAATCTCTACAATATGACCGTTTGGTCCATTAACCTATAGAGCTACATTCCCTCCACAACAAATGGTTTGGGTTGGAAGAGAGGGAGAAGTACGTGTGTTACTGGCTTTCAAATGGCTTCCTTTAACAGGGAAGAAAAATCTTAATATCTTTAAGTGTAATGAATATGATGATCATAATTTTGGATGTGGGTGGATAGTTTCATTTTGTATTACCCTGGTTTTTGGCACAGCATGAAAACACACAACACAAGAAGGAATATAGCCGCAAGCGACAATGAGCGAGGTTTAAGTACAGTCAGTACAATCAGCTGACTGTACTTAAACAGACAATCAGCTCTGCAGGTAAACTGGGTATATTCTGTTTTCACAATGCCACAGATAAACACAACAGACGTCTATGACACTGAATGCACTGAAAGTTAAGACGTTTTATACACAGTACATATGCTGAAGTAACAACCTGTGACTCAGTTTCTGTAGCATCTGAACTAATACTTTAGGGGCTTTGAGAATTAATTATGCAAATATTGAAAAAAGTGGAGTGAAGGACTTGGAGCTTGCAGTGGAGCAAAGTTTCATCACATATTACCAGATGTGTTTCAAAAACATTCAAATCTCTACAACCTTCAAGTGATTTTTGACAATGTTTTGAAGATTTGAGTGCTGCATTTCTTCACGTGTGATTCCTCACTTATAAACTCCACACACACTAATCAGTTAAAAGAGAGATGACCTTTGATCATATCTTCTTAGTGTCAGAGAAAAGAATGTAGTCAATTATGAGAAATAAACTTTCTGAATTTTTTCCACCTCTTCCAGGCAGAATGAGGAAAGACTGTTCAGTCTGTCCGAACAGATACACTACATTTGTAGCAACAGCTTAAACCAAATTTGATTTGTGAGCATTTAACGACACTTAAAGACACAATTATAAAAACAACACAGTATCAAAATGAAGAGTAATAACTTCTGTGCAGCTTGACTTTTGATGTGTGAAATTTTCTGAAGATGAAATCAAGTTTGATGCATGTGAAGACTTGAAGAATTTGGACACAACGCAAAATCACATGATCAGTTGTGGAATCATCTACTGAGTCAAGAGAAAAATGTTTTTTGTTTCTAGCTCATGTCTCAAGCTCAAACAGCCAATTACACTTCTGATGTGAAAAACAAACACCAATCTGGGAACAATGGATTAACCCTGCTGCACTCAGTGGGGGCATATCTGAAGTGGGGATATGATGGGCAGCTGTTTGCTGAGCTGCAAAACAATGAAGTTTGTAGTTTTTTGGCCACAAGGAGTCTTTACCTGCTACTTGTGTTTTTCTTGCTTTTGCTTTTCCTTTTCAAGCTTTCCCTCTCTCGACTGCTGATGAAGGGTGGCATGGAGGCATAGCCGTGTTCTGCTTCTGCAAGAAAATCAACAACATAGTGGTCACATGTCCTGCTATCTGGCAATGCAAAATACAGTGTTACCGCACCACAGTGAAAAAGCAGCCAAAGCGAGTGTAGCAAGACTGCAAAATGTGCCAGTTTTGATCTTGATCCCTTTGACATTCAGTAACAATGTCTTGTGCTGAAGTGTCTGCATGCAATGAATGGATTTCATGCAGTATATTTATACAGTATTTTCTCCCCTCTGCCTGGACAATGATGTCATCTTGAACTGGAATAAACCCCACTAGCAAACCACAACAGAAGGAAAGGAGGGGCCTCCATGAAAACAATGTCTCCCTGCACATCTGACTGCATCTGCAACATATGCATTTATTCTTTCATTATCACAAATGCACGTGTGTGTTTGCACACTGCATTATTGCATTATGGCCCCAGAAATGACTTAATAATGATTTGAACCTATTTTAGGCAAGCGATTAATTCGGCTGTATAGTGCAAAATCCAATAACGTTAATGCAATTAATGCATGGCCCGATTACTTAATGTAAAACAATAAAGGACAGGTACAGGATTTAAATGGGCTTCAAAATGACAGGTGCATAAATTAGCGTTTTCTGTGGGGGGATGGGTGTCGATGTGATTTTTCAGAAATAAAACAAACCGTAGTAAACAATGCAATTATACTTTACCTCGTTCTCTGCGATCAAGGTACTCGGCTGCTTCGATCAACATCTGCACCATTCCGATCGCCGCCATTTTCAACAATATCACTGATAATATAACAATCCGATGAGGGATTCCGTGGCTGTACACAACCTGCTTCAGGTCCTACCACTGACTCTCCTTCTCAGCACTCAGGTGGCTCACTGCTCTGTCACTGATTATTTTAAAAGGCGAGAGGTAACGTTAAAGAGTTACTCCTGCAGCGTGTCAAACGGGCTATTTAAAAGTTAAAGGTCATGAATTCAGCACCAATCACTTTTAAAAGCCAAACAGTGTTCGTCTTTAATGATTGTTTAAATGGTTCAGGTCAGGGTTTGTTGTTAGCCGGCTAGTCAAGGCTGGCGCCCCCTCTTTTTAAAATTGTTAGCAAAATATTGTTAGCTTTAGCTATAGGTAGTTCTTCGAAAAAGGCGTCTTGTTGATAAAACAAAACGATGGCTTGACTGACATATAAAAATGAGTCGAGTATTGAGTATATGTTCTGTTCGGGTAAAAAATAAGTTGGCTAATGTTAGCGCTGGAGACAAGTTGCCTGAATAATAAAAAGCAAAAGTTCTTCCTAGCTCGGTTGAATAGTGTAAAAATTGAGCCAATCGAAAGACAAGAGCGTTGTTGGCTTGTTCAGTGGTCACAGACTTGCCTGATGTGAAACAGAAAGAAAAACAAGCTAGCTGTCTTAAAGTTCAACCGACGATGTCATACAACCTTATCGATTCGGGGCTATGTGGCTAATTTTGTGCTGGTTTGTCGCTGATCACGCGTGATACGTCTCGCTGGAAATGCAGATAGCGACTGACATCAGCTAAGGAGCAGTGAGTGTTTATCAAACTGCTGCCAAAATAGTGGCTTGTTGATCTGGACCACGGCTAACTACTGTACTTTACCACAAAGCTTCTGTGTACTGCGATATTATTGGGTACTGGATATACCAAATCAAGCTGCTATTGGACGCTTAAGCCGTCAATCATCGGGAGGGCTCGGCACTGACTGCCACTGAGGGCCTTCTTCCGCCATTTTGGTTCTAATTCTCGTTCAAAAATACTCAGTACGCGGAGCCGCAATGGCCGTCGTTTCTGCACTACACACTCGCGCGCCGTGAATGGTTGCTTTCTGACCAACTTGTTACCTATTGGCTGCTTTGCCCACGAGCTAAAGTGACAACGCCCGCTTGTGACAGAAGACACGCCCCTCTGCCATGCTGTTTCGCGGTGTATGGCAACGATTGGCTCCCGTGGTGTTGTTTGTCTTATTTTTCGATCAGAGATTGGTCAGATTCACATGCTCTCTTACTATTGGTCTATTGGTTCTCCTATCACAGAGTGTCTATCTGCGCAGGCGTACGTCGACTGCTTTCAGAAACCTGACTTCAAAATGAGACGGATGGCCATTATAAACCAGGACTGGAAGTACAATTACATGGAACTGGAACATGGGTTTATTTGCTTAAAAACATCCTTCATCTTGAACTAAATTTAATCCTGGAATGGTAGACCAACTCATAGCGTACACTTACTGAGAACACCAAACTGGATTAAATTTAGCTACACAAGAATATATATCCAAGTACTACCTGAGTGAATGATAAATTAGACTTACAGGGCCTGTTGCCCTGACTTTGTAATACCGTGATAACATTTATTGATGTTAAACATCACAGTGTGAAGACACTAACAATTACCTATTAGAAACTGTTCCTGCACATCAAGGCAGATGCAGTTGACTTTGATACACATTTATACATAATATACATTTTTCAAATCAAGGACTGTAAGCACATTTTCAAAAGCCTTTATTTCAAAAGAAAAAACACCATCCACATCAACAACATAAAGCTCCATGCAGTGTGCCCACACAGGGTCTTCTGTTAATACTCAGCTGTGGTTTACTGCAAACATTATTTACATTTATGTGTTTACTTGTAAAAAGGTATATGCAGAACTGTTGCATCACACAAAACAAGTTAGAGATAACAGGTAAAAGCACAATATCATCCACTGTGAAGGGAGGACAGAGGTAAGCTTCTTGAGTATCACAATGAGACGCTGATACTTTCAAGCAATGAAGTCCAGTGGTCGGTTGAATCCACCTTTTCTGTTCATGTACTGCCTAAAAAAAAATAAATAAATAAATATATAAGAAAACATTGCATCACTGTTACCCTCGCAACACTTGCAGATTACATCATCGTGCACCAATGGGAGAGCTGGGATCTCTGCATAGAAACACCTGCAGAGGTGATTGGCTAGCTACAATAACAGTGGTTTATGCCGAGTGCTCACTGTGAGGGGCCTGAAAAGTTGATGCTATAACTCAGAAACCTGAGCAACAACTGGGCTTCAGACAATAACTTCAAAAAGATAACTCGATAAATAAAACAGGGACTTATGAAACCTTTTCAAAAATTGTCTGTGGCTGTGTGTCGTAAAGCTGCACGACCCACAAACAGCTCTGTACTGTTAGAAACAGCCCCCCCCCCCCCATTGTTGACATACCTGTATTTCCGCTTCATGGTCACATTGACAGCATATGCATTTACTGATCCATCGGTTTTCCTACCCTGTTTGAAAACAATGTTAATGCATCTCACATGTCGCAAATAAAACATCAGAAACATCACAGTTAAAATTATAAAGTGACATTAATTAGGAAGTCTGCTTGACTTACAGTGCGCATTTTATTCATAAAACTAATCTGTTAGGACACTTTAGAAGCTGTCCAAGCCTTTGCAAACCTTTCAAAATTAACTACAAACACTAAACAGAAAAGCATGGATAAATTTTTTATTTACTTGTTGGTACATAAAACCATGACAGGAACTTTTTAAAGACATTATAAAAACAATAAGAATGTTCTGAATGTCCATTATGCATTTTATAATAGTGAGTTGTTTTGATCAACTGACATAAGAGCACCAAGACACTTATTCCAACTTTTCTACAAACAGACTCATCAGCCCTCACTGGCCAACTCAATATTCCCCTTGATTTCATAAGCCTGCATCTGCTTTCTGTGAAGGAGTTGCAAACAAACAGCACAAATGTGAGAAAAAAGTGTGATTTCAGCCCCAGAGATCTGGCTCATTGTCCAGTAGAAGCTGTTCTTAAGTTAGATTTTTACAGTTCTCTGTGTTTTTAGGGTCAGGTGATCAGTCTAAAATATTGAAAAAGAGAAATAACTGTCACCACTGCTCCAAAACAAATAGAATGAACCAGAAATCAGTGAGGTATCGGTTCGATGAGGAACAATCTTTCATCGAGGAACAACAACTACACAGCACAGAGGCCATCAGCTGTATCAACTGTGCTGTTCACATGGTGTTCACATCACGATGGATGCATTGGTGCATCGAGCAAATTCATAGAAATAAATGCAAGTGTACCTCTACCCCTTCAATTTAATTGGAGAATGCAAGGAACTTAATCTGCACTAAACTGCACCTCCTTGTGGCTGCAAAACGTAGGGCAGCCCTCTGTATTCTCACCTTGCTGGTATCGAAGGAGCCAAAGCCCATCGTTTTCATCATCTCAATTTCCTCCTCTGTTTTGCCTTGCATGTCCTCCGCTGTTAAAAAATGATAGCATTGAATTTTGACAAAAAACATAAATGTTGCACCTGAAAATGCCATAAACACTGAAAGCTGAATTCCCTACTTAATTATATGAATATATAATGTCAACATTATTCATTATACCTGATATCTGAATGGGCTTTGCTGCCTTATCCTTTGACTCTTTGCGTTCATCGTCACGTCTGTCTTTTTGTCTCCCAGGAGAGAGGGAGGAGGAGCGATGACGTCTAACAGGAGACCTGCAGAGGGAACACACAGATGGCTGCAGGACGGGTTATCACAACTACAGAGGGCAGAAATGCTGAGTAACGTTGTTCATGGTTTGTTTAAATCTATTTAGGTTGCAGATAAATGTGCTTGTCGAGAAGAAAAAACATAAATGTAAAGTCCACCATTTGCTTCTGTAGGGGGACGCCTCGAAATTTGTATTGGAGGCAAAAAACACTACCTGACAAGGTTTGTAAATAATCTTTCTCCACAAACAGCACACCTGCATCTGTTACTCTCAAAGTAAAAAAGTAACATTGCTGATTTATGTCATAAACCTGAGAAGACAACCAGATACAGCAGCAAAGAGAAAAACTAATCAGGACTTCGAAACTTACCTCGAACGTCTCCTGTGAGGAGACCGCGAGCGACTTCTGCGCCTGTCTCTGTCCCGATCACGAGAACGAGAGCGATCCCTCTCCCTTCGCCTTCGCTCACGCTCCCGTGACGTTGAGCGGGAACGTCTTCTCTCTGCAGGAAATGTGGAAATGAGATCGTGCCGTTAGCTGTTAAGTGAGAAAATTTAAACAGGGCATATTGGCATCCACACACCATAACATTCTTCTTTACATACAGGATTTAATTTTCTGCAACATGTTTCCAATATGCTATACATGTAAAAATGTCACTGGCACCATGTGACTCTTATTTTCTAGTGTTGTATGTACAGTTTGATTTTCTTTTTAGGATACACAGAATTCAAATGTATGCCACAAGGCACTGGGATGAATGCCGGGTGGCCTACTCTGGAAATGAATAAACATGCTTGGAAACTGCCAACATATTGTTCAGGTATATACTTCTTATTGTTGATATAGTTAGAGATACTGCAGCAGTGTCAGTATTGTTTTCCTTTAACCTTTAACTTTTGATCACTTCAGGAAAAACCCATGGCCCACAACATATCCAAGAACACATTAGTATACAGCTGATGTTCTGATGTTCTCTGATCTCAACTAATGTTCCTTCAAAAGCCTTTGTAATCTGGTTGGTAATGCAATCACTGCTTCATGAGGTACAGTTTCAACCAGTATCCTGTAAAACACATTTGGGTTGAGAAGATTGTGACAAGATTTTCGCTGTTGATGCTGAACACTGAGTAGCAAACTCTGTCATATCATATTCAATATCAGAATAATCAGCAGATTGAACCCAAAACCACCATCACCACCACCAGTCTTTGAAGCCAGACAACACTGAGATAAGAGGATAATAATCAGTAGTTACTGCCTCAAATTGGGGCACACAAATAAGATTAATTGAAACAGTGTGATATTATGTGATATATTTGATATATGACCACATATACTGGCCTATACAGAATCTTGGTACAACAGCGGGGGTAAAACAGGTTAAGCTCTTCAGATTTTAATTCTGCTGCTAATTCTACACTTATATTTAGTGACATACTCAAAAAAGTTATGAAACCAAACATATTGCATTTAATAATGATACTGGATTGTCTTTCCGATTTGATGGTGGCTTAAACTGATAATATGGAGACATACTAGCCTGCCTTTATTTGTTCCCATTAATAAGGCATGGTAAGCAACATATCTTTCAGTTATGCGGAAAACGCCACAGAGCAGCTTTAGTTCGGACCACATGTTGTTTAAGACGGGCAGCTAAGTACAAACAGTAGCGCCAACTCGACAGATAGTAGCTTAAGTTTTCTGTATTTTCGCAGTTATGTGTAAAAAATAGCAATAAGCCGAAACAGCATCTTATTTTTCCAATATTTTCTCTTGTACCATTGTTATTTATGAAAAGGACAAAGTGAGTTTTGCACAGACCCAGAATATTCTGCTTTAACATACTCACACACCTACAAAGCCCACTTATTAAACCGTGTTACTGCTGTCTAACGTTAATTTAACGTTAGCTATAATTGTGCTAAATAACTATGCTAACGTTACTTAAATAACTACATAGAGGGGATGCATAGTTAGCTAACTTATAGAAAAGCAGCATTAATGTTATACATGAGTCACGTATTAATGTGTAAAATTAGTGTAAATAGAAGGAAAATAAGTTAATGAACATCTTATCATATGCGTATTCGCTTTCTTCCAAAAAAAGAGAGAACAACTTTAAACCCAAATAATCATACGTTGTGTTCGGTTAGCTAAATTAGCCACTTTTAGCTTCTTACCTCGTCTTTGGGGAGTTCGACTCCTGCTTCTGCCCATTTCCCTAACAGATCAAATCTTAACCTCGTAGATAAACGTACTACTAAATAGAAAAAATGTACTTGCAGATATTAACAATCTGTTAGTTGATTTAATTCCGTTAACATTAATGGCTGCTACTCAGAGGATCTTCTGTTGTCTCTTGTGGTTGGTAGGCCAGCTTCCGATGACCTTTCTCAATAAGAGCGCCCCCTACCGAGCTGGAGGCGAGCCTGTTGTTTTATGGCTGCTGTTCAGATGGCACACAGAGCTGATACATAGAGCTCATTATTACACATAAAACTTATTATCATCATCCATTATTAGCTATTAATGGACATTACTTAGACTATTGTTAGTACTTAGTACTAAACTATTTTAACAAATACTGTGTATTAGTTTTTAGCTAATAGTGGTATTAGCACACAGTAAGATAAATATTCTTATAAACCAAAAGAAGAAAGGCAAGATAATCAAGCAGAGAAAGAGAAGACATTGCTGGTTTTAAATCAAACTTGATCTTTAATGACTGATACATGGTAACCTTGAAATACTCACTTATACGTTCTAATATAAAATAAATTAAAACCATGAGCAAACATCACACATCAGCATTTTGATAACAGCTACTGGTTTAAACAGAAAATAATTACAACTGTTAAGAGGTATTCTGCACACGTACATTTAAAAGAAAATGAGAAAAGTGGAATGTTTAGTACCTTCAGTATCTTCTGTTACTGGGTTTCAAACTGCATTGACAAGCAACAATTTCTTTATGCTTTATCCTTTTTTTTTTGGTAATAGTGGAATTAATAGCGGCTTATGTTTTGTTGCGAGCCATTATATTTTCCCCCTGCTCTCTTTCTCCATGTTTGTCCCTGCTGAAATAACGTCAATAGGCTTTTACACAAAACCAGCATTCAGAAAAGCGCAGTCAGTAGCTATCAGTATATTCCTACACATACTGCACCTGTGCTCACATAGTATACCTGCAACATTTATCTGATAATTAGAATCAAATCATGACTAGAAGGTGCCTATGATGATGAACAAATGCAACATACTAGAATGTCAATATACATATGTCAAGTGCCTATAGGAGGGTAAGGGATGCATAATCCATGGGGACTTAAATTTCCACCGTGTCTTGCAAAGGTGGGGATTGAAATAAACAAAAAAAACAAATTCTGAGCGGTGAGTGCACAGGATCACAGGACTAATCCCAGTTTGAAAACAAACATGTCTGCATGTCTATACAGTGGAGTTAAGTAATGGTTTGGTAGCACAGCAGGTGAAAAATAAGATGTGAGTAATACACGGACTGTGTGTCAGTGTGTCAGTGTGTATGTGTGTGTGTGTGTGCGTTTGTGTGTGCGCGCGTGTGTGAGACAAGCGATGGTGTGTCAAAAAGTTTGGCTGTATGTGACCTGGGTCAAATAGTATGTGAAAATAATCATCAGTGTTTTTAACCTGCTGAAGATGAATAACCACACAGATCAACTCAGTGAGGAGCAGTTTACAGTAGAGCATTTGAAAGTCAGTTTAGTACACTGTGTCTGTGAACGACATCTTGACTGTTTGAATAGATCTGATGTGGTTAAGTCCATCTGCTACTCATAACGCCACACACTAAGAAGTATTTCACAGTAGTATTTCACCGAGGTCTGGTGTGTCTGGACGCCTCAGGTCTCTGCTTTCTCCTTCTGCTTCTTGCTCTTTTTCAGGAACGACGGCGGCTTGAACTTCTTTTTCTTCTTGGACGGGGACTTGGAGGGTGAGCCCTCAGGGGTGCCACCTTGTGGTTTGGCGGGTGGAGCAGCAGGGGTGGAGGAGGTGTCATTGGTTGATAGAGCCTTCATGCCTTTCTCCAGTTCTTCTGTCGTCTGCTTCTCCTCCTCGCCTCCGTTCTGTATGGCTGGAGAGTCGGTCTTTGCCTCTTCTGCTCAGAAAAAAATGAAAAAATGAAAAGATTTTTCAGCTGTCGGACAGAAAGCCTTGAGTGTGGCGGAGCTGCAGAGCTACATGCGAGACATGTCGCTGCAGATGAACATGCTTGCTTAATGAGAAGTGGACTGTCATACGGTTTCTCTGTACTTACTAGTGAGACAAGACCAAAGCACCAGAAGTGTGCCCTATGAATGAGCGAGGAGTAACACAGAAAAGGACAGAGAGACAGACACAGAGGGAGAGAGCACAACACACACAGTAGGTACACAGGCACAAAGATTTCACTACAAAGGGCTGAAATGTAAATCAAACAGTAACAACCCAATATAACAGACATTTTGACTGACACAGGTGTAACTAAAATACAAGAGCCCAGGTGAGACAGAGCTACACCACAAAGAGCCTTTATTATTAGTTACACCTATTTTATGTTTAAAATTTTTGATGAGATAGATCTATTGCACATGCCAAGAAAATCTGACAACCCATGTTACTCCACTTCATATCTAACTGTGACTTTCCACTTCACAGTATCCACACAACTCGCTCTCAACAGTTTTCACACAGACATTTTTTTTACCTGTAGAAAATAGTTTGTGTGAAAACATTTGACAGTGAGGGGTGTGGGTTATCCAGAGAAACCGGGACACAGATGTTGCTGAGAGCTACGATCACCACATATAAAATACCATTCACTTCTGTTGTGTTGGGTGGAGGCAGAAATCTCCGACATGCAGTGTATACCTCCAAAACAGGGCACATAAAACCAGAACATGTTGAGATAGATGACACGACCAGATACTACAGAGGGTGTTTTTGTCTTTTGTCTTGACAAATAATCTGAATTTTGTACCAGGTTTTAGGGTTAGGGTTATGGGAATATATTTGATCAGTTTCCTAGACAATGCTCAGGTTATGTTATGTCTATGGTCTAAGTATTGTAATGTATGTAGAGATATATTCAGATCTGTTTCTTGTGCTGCTGTAACATGAATTTCCTCTCTGACAATGAACTAAGTCTCATCTCATCTCATGGAGAATTGAGCTGAGTTTAAACGGTACTGCATGTGCTTCATGTAGAGTTTGCAGTTGTAGTCTATCTACGTTAGAGAATTTTGTTATATCATCATTAGTCTTCTTTATCCTCTATGTGGGGCTCAGGGATTTTCAGGGCTACGTAAGTGTGACTGTAAGGTCTTATGTTTATGCTTTTATTGTGAATATTACATTCGGCTATTGGTTGGTTATTGTGCAGGAAAGAAATCATTTTCTCTGTCTCTCTCTGTGCTTTTGTCACTGGTGTGAAGTTGGTGGGACTCCAAGTCTCGTACCTCCATCCAACAAACATTAGTCAGCAACATCTGAGTCGAAGTCTGATGACAGTTATCATTTGATCACTGTCAGTCACATCTGATCAAAACACACCTACACAGTCCTAATGGAGCTGATTCACTGGATTGTTCTGAGCGTTGAACTCTTCATTAACAATAACTAAACAGTTATCATCATCATAATACTTCACATAATAACAATGCATATTTAAATTTTTAATCTACAACCTTTGAACAATCTGTGTGAACAGAGACACTATCTACTGCACATGAGGAGGAGTAACATGGTCGTCAGTGAGTATTTGACGCATGAGAGGCAGAAGCAGCACTAAGAGACTGGGAGCAGGCCGCTGGTCACAGAGCCAGGATGCAAGGCAAGCAGGGCAGACGCTCGGTGCTCTGCCAAGCCTCACCTGAGAGAGGAGGGGGGCTCGGTGGAGGGCCCTTTATGGGGGAGGTAGCAGGGGAAGACTCCTTGTCATTTGCCACCTCCTCCTCCCCTACTCGCGCAAACACACAGACACACACAGTGAGGAACAGTGAGGGCAGTGCAGGAAGTTAAGATTTGTGAGGCAAAGAGAGGTGGACACAGTTTACACATCAGTCACAAGTGAAGGTGCCGTGTGAAGCATCTTAACTTAAAAAAATCATTAAAGAATTTAAAACACTCATTCATGACTATAAACAAAAACAACTGATGTTCAGATTTTTTGTGTCCATCAGCAAAAAACAACAATCTGTTGTATTGCTTAGCAACACAACACACAGGAGGGACAGAGGAGGAGAAACAGGACTAAAGGTTTCGCCTTTTCCTACAATAACAGATAATGGAAAAGTGAAAACTACACAGTAATTTTAATTTGAAATTGATATACTGGTATTTAATGATGTAACACACAGCACCCTCAAGATGGTTAGAAGAAAGTACACAACGCTTTACTGGTGAAAGTGATGGTTCACATATTACATTGTCTTTATGTCTAGACTATATACAGTATATAGCCAGATGTATGTGGACACGCCTGACTGACAAAAGACAGAGGAGTCAAACATATAAACAAATACATTAACAAATAATACTGTTGGTTAAAAAGTTAAAATGAGGTGTAAATAGAAACATTAAGCTTCATGGTTTTTTCTTAAACTCCAAGCAGTTGGTAAAAAAACGCTTTTTTATTTTTCCTTTATTTCAAATCACTTGAGAAAATATGGAATGTATGGAATGAGAGGTTCAACCATCACATACGGGTATCATGTTAAACTGTCCACATACATCTTGGCCATATAGTGTTTAGGACTATATGGCTATATACTAAAACTATTAATAAGACAACTTGAGAATAAATAGATACGTACCGTATACAAGCGTTATTATAGTATAGAGTATAAAGTTATAGATATAGAGTTATTATCATTTGAGTGTGTGAGTTGAGCTGAAGTAACTGTACCATCGGTCCCTCCATCCTGTTTCCTCTGCACCTCTTTGCGGTACTCCTCCAGCTCCTGGTCCGTCAGCTGGTTGAAGGGGTTGGGGGGTTCTGGTTCCAGTGGGATTTTGGGTGGGCTGACTGGAGACTAAGAGACAAGAAGAGACACAAAATCACAGCTTTGAACTCAGAGAACAAAAGAGACAGATGTCTGGAGAGCACAGAGGTTGCACTTTACCGGAGGACTCTCCTCCGTAATGACGCTGGCCAGGACTTGAGACTGTGGTCCCGCCGTCTTCATGTCCTGACGATTCTGCTGTCGGATCTGAGGAGACAACATCCACCCGTAAACAGCTTTTGACTCATATGACAGAGTGAAGAAGGCGAGAAGATGAGGAAAGGCAAGGAGGAGTTACCTTGTTTCGTGTCTCAATCACCTCCTGAGGGTTGGTGAAAAGAGGCACAAACTGGTTTGGGTTCTCCATCTTGATGGACGTGCTGCCGGCTTGTGTCACCTCTTCTGTCTTCAACCACTGAGGAAGAGAAAACCAACATCAAAACAACAACTCACAATCCACTTTTAAAAGAAAAAATAGTAGAAGTCAATGACTCAGTGTGGCTGTATTATTAAGTCAGACAAGGGGCAGGAAAAACGTTGCTTTCTACATTAAAACTTTCCTTTAAAAAGTATGTTTTTAAGAAGGAGATTTATTACTATTGAGTTTATGTTTTTGCCAGCAGAGGGCAGACTCTGCACTGCAGCAGTCCTCCTGAGCAAGTGGGCTTTCCCCTGCAATGCAGAGGAGAGGAGAGAGAGGAGGGTGGGAGGGACAGAGGAGGAGGAGGAGGAGGGAGAGGCAAGCTCCTCCCAGTGATGTCAGTCAGTCAGACTCATATTGCTCCTCTCCCTGAAGGACTCATCACCGCCGCTCTGATCACTCTGTCCTCTGAAGTACAGACATAAAAACAAACGCTCCACAGTCTTAATCAACCCTCATATGAACCACAGGTTGATTCTGGATACAGAAATATCCTCGGTGGAGTGCAAATCAAATATCATCAGTGTCTTTTCAAATCATCAGAGAGATGGTGAGTTAATAACTCTGTTACTGTGTCTGTCTCCACACCTCAGTGAGCTTCAAGCCCTTTCTTCCTTTCCTGCTCACAGCTCACATTAATCTCACTCCAGGCTCTGATCCCTCTGCTCTCCAGCTCCTCTTTAACTTCTTTTATAACTACATACAGTCTACGTATCCTCACTATCTGATTGGGAGTCATCACACAACTTCTAATGTCACAGTTTGCAACTTTATTTGAGACAGTTCCTGCGCTGCTACAGTGAGATCTGTTCAGTGAATCAGTGAAGCCTCACAGTGGTGCGCTGGTGTCCAGGGCTGGCCTGCTCCTGGCTGACTTTTTGGTAGGTGTTGGGGGTGTTGAGCCATCGGGTCCTCTCCTGCTGCTGGCGCTGGGCAAAGGGGTGCTGCCTCAGAGCCGGGTGGACTCCGTCGTCGTCAAACTGGTGGAAGGCCGTGGCGGTCGCAGGCACCTCCACCTCCCTCCGCATCCGCGACCGCTCCAGCAGCACAGGGAAACGGTACGTGTAGCCGGTACGGTAGCCCTGAGAAACGACAGATGGAGGAAGCTTTAGGGTGTGATGACAACATCACCTCACCCTCTGAAGGACAGAGAGTAGACGCTTTTCTCAGGGTGCATACCTCAGCCACCACTGCACTCTCTCAACAGGGAACTACAGCATTTGATGGTATTGTCCCTCAAACAAGCTGTGTCATTGCTCTAATCTCAGTGACTGTGCAGGCTACGGCAGAGAAAGCAGTATTTTTTTTTACCGTGGTCAGCTTCCACCAGCAGCCCCTGGATATTGTGCAACTAAAGTTTCTGTGGTTTGCACTTTTGTGTCACAGAACAGCTGCATCAAAGATGTATTTGCTGTTGAGTTACTGCTGATGTAATCTGAACATTTGATGATGCTGCTGCTTTACACCAAAAGCTTTCCATCTGCAAACCACAGGAAAGCTTTTATGCTTTTATTGTGAAGAAGCTACAGGAAATGCGGCAGTATTTCTCACAGCTATTATGCTGCACTCACATTATAAATGGTTTACGTCTGGAAGCAAGCGTTTACATGATCAGACAGCTCACGGTGGTTGTAGGGTTACAAAGTTGCTGCTAATGGTCAATAAACACATGGGAGCGAGTTAGATGAAGAGCTGCAGCTGACAGACTCTATAGTTTTTGTGAATCAAGGTGAGTAAGACCTTTTATCGTGCCATTCTTTTAATTCCAGCAAATCTTTACTAAACACCATCATCCTCACTGTGAACATGTGTCTCTCTGTTGCCTACCAGATTGTCCAGAGTTCTCATGAGGGCTTCAAACTCATGCTCCCCAACGCGGCTCTTGTGCAGGGGCCCAAAGGTGGAGCCAGCCCAGCCCACGGTGCCGGCCGGGTTCGGTTTATGGTTGGTCCGGTCCAGTAAAATCAGGTTCTGTTCGCCACCAGCACTACACAAAGCTGTCACCTGAAAAAACAAACAACCAAACAGTGATTTAGAACAAGTTGCAGCATGGTGCATTGCACAAAAGCATCTGAACCACATTTACTGTGAGCTGGGAAAATACAACACATCAGGCTCTGTAGATCTGAAGAACTGACGACTGCACAGTCACATTGTGTGCTGCTGGTCCTGTAGGATCACTGCAGTGTCTCTTTTGGCAGGCGACGCTCCTGTAGTGTATTGTAATGCAGAGCAGAGCTGCCGGCTGAATTACAGAGGAAGGGCACCAAGAGAAGCGCGACTGCCCAGGTGGAGCACTGCATCTACATCATGGACACGTGCCAGCTCACTCTCCCACTCACACACACCTACACACATGCAGTGGCAGCACTTTGTCTCTAGTATGTCAGCTGTTAGTCAGTACAGTGCGCGTGTGTGCGCATGTGTGTGTGTGTGTGTGTGTGTGTGTGTGTGTGTGTGTGCTGTTGTTGGGTGGTTGGGTGTGTGCGTGTGTGTCTGTGTGTGTGTGTGTGTGTGTGTGTGTGTGTGTGTGTGTGTGTGTGTGTGTGTGTGGCTGCTGTATACAACCTGGATCTGGCAGGCAGTCTGGATGTGGAAGATGGTGTAGAAGGCCTCCTCCACAGACTCCCCAAGAGCCACGATGCCGTGATTTCTCAGCACCAGAACCTGGGACACACATGAAATCCACATTAACACCGAAATAAAAGCAACTCACGATTAATGAATCCAGTGTGAGGTAACACCACCTTATGTCTTCTCTCTGTTCACTCTTAAAGCTCAGTCAGTCCATGTGGGAGGGGCAGGAGCAGTATCATATTAATGGTTCTGCATTCCTGTGGTCTGCTCACCTTACAGGTGGGTCCCAAGCTCTTCTGCAGCTCCACTCTGTCCTCCTCCTCCTCCATGACTCCGTTGTAGTCATAGTAGGCCACGTCACCGACCAGCAGAGCCTCATGGGAGAGCGGCAGGAGGCCGCACTTCATAGCTGAAACCTAGAGATCGTTTGCTGTCAGTCGTGGCAGCAGAGATCATGAAACAGGCTCAAATTCTCATGCGCTTTACAAGTAAATCCATGCTGGACAATCAGGTGTAATGTTATCAGACTCAAACAGAACAAGACGACCTTGGAGTTGCTAATATCTGTAATCACAAATGATCTAAAATGTGTAACGGAAATGATTCTTCGTGTATGAATGACAGGCACTCAGCCGTGTCTCCCCATGTGAATCTGGACGTGACCAGCAGAGGTCTAATGTGTCTCCTCTAAACACGACAGGACAGAGCTGTGGGCTGATGCCAGCCTCTCCGCTGGCATCAGCCCAGGCTGACTCACTGCAGCTGTGGCCGGTGTGTGGAGGTGAAGTAGACAGCGAACATCTGGCCGGGCCGAGTAGATGGCTGAGTGCAGGCTGAACTTCTCTGGGTCCACGCCCAGGTTGGTGCTGCCCTTCTCCACCACCTCACCCAGGATGTTTACCTTTACCTGTGAAGGCACACAGCCCCATCAGCATGTGTCTCTCAGAGAAGTCAGATCATAATCAATTCTCTAACATGTAGACACCAGTGATATTCTTCATAAATTCAACTTTAAAACTCATGTGGACAGAACCAGGTTTTGGTTGTGCATGTTTTCTTGGACTTCATGCATCAAATTAAAACTTAGGGAGGAAAATTCTCTCAAATAGTATGTAGACCACGGACCAGTGAAACCATTAAAACCAAGAAAAGACTACTAATGAAAACTACAGCTAAAATGACTAGTCAAATAATTGTTCAGGAACCATCTGATAATTGTATAAGTCGATTAACAATAAAAATATCAAATATTCTATAATATTAGCTTTTTGTTTTTGTCTTTGTAAATATATTTTGGTCTGTTGTCCAAAACTGGAGCTGAAAAATCACATTGCGATTATTTTGGCAGATGTTGCGATATGAGTCACGATTTCAGTTAGGATGGTCATTCTTCGATTAATTGTTTAGCCCTAGTGAAAAAAAACTATTTCAAAATAAAATTGTGGGATTAAGAAATTGGGACAGGCATCGCTCACTACATTCTGAAATTTTAAAGTCTAAATGTTAAAATCACTTCATCAAAAAATACAAAATACTATAATAGAGTTAGACAATTCTAGTATTTCTGATTAATAATAAAATTCCATAAAAGTTTGCATCATATCAATAACTTGTCCATAAACAGTCAAAAGGACCAGGTCACATGTGTGAAACCTTCATCCTGACCGGTCTGACTCACCAGACTGGATCCGGTCACCTCACTGTAGGCCAGGCCGTCTGGAAGCACCAGGAAGTGTTCCTGTTCTTTACTGACGCGCAGCTGTCAGCCAGGAAAAAGAACATAAACGTTAGAAATAATAATGCAAAACATTACGTTATTGTGTGAAAACTCTTCTGGTGTTTTTCCATTTGCACAGCACAAAAAGATGAAGACAGAGCACAGACACACAGATTTCTATCATCTGATCACAGATAACAGGTTTCTTCCTGAGCTTGTTACTGCAGCACCTTCCTCTGCATCCACTCTTCTAACTTCACATGACCTGTTTCCTTCATTTAAGCCGGAGTTAATGCAATGCCTTTTCTCTTTATATATTGGAAATTGACCCTTGCAGTGCCTTAATACTGCTGTCAACCCCAGCTGTAACACAGAGGACCAGTCTTTCTCTTCCACTCTCTATAGAGCCAATCAGCTGTTTCACTCAAAAGCCAGTTAAATTATATTTCAGTACCTGCTACTTATGTTGATGACAAGTCTGTTCAGTAAATGTGTTGAGGGAAAAAAAACATAATCCTGGGAAAAGAGAGTGAAACTAACAGTGAGACAGGTGCGGCTGATCTGGGCCCAGCCGTAGAGGTCGAACAGGCGATGGGTGCTGGCCAGCTTGCAGCGCATTAACCTCTCCCCCTTCACCATGGTGCCAGGCTCCCACCCATGCAGGTCGTTGATGGGTGTCACCATCATCATGTCTGTGTGTGGGGGGGAGAAAGAAAGGGAAAGCAGAGAGGGAGAGAGAGCAGAGTGGAGATGATGATCTGCAGAGGTTAGTGGGAGAGTGATTCTTTTACATGTAAACATTTCAACATAAGGAAAATGGCACTGATGGATAACCTCTGGTTCATGTCATTTCTTTCAGATTTTAAGAACGTGTTCTTTTGTGCAATGAAAATCGCACTGTATTTGACATTTGAGCGTGTGTCTTTAGTGCATGTATGAGTATGAGTATCCATGACATAGATAACATGGATATTTTGTGCTCTGAATGCTTCTCCCTGTCTAAACAGAGCAACTTACACATTTACCATCAATATTACTACATGGATATAAGTGACTTTATATAACCCACTGCACAGTCTTATCAGTAAACACCTGTGTTTATGTACAGGGTTGTTAACCCCAATTAAACAATTACAAATAGACCAATAGAACAAATACATTTTCTCTTTGTGGCCAATTTAATTATTTGTGTTTGTCATCCACACAGTCACAAACACACGGACAAACTCGTGTTTCCCTTCAGTCCTAATGTGCACACCGGTGGTTGTATTCATCATGCTGACATCAGATGTTTTAACTTGTCATAGCAGGAGAAGCTCAAGTGGAACTAATAACATTAATAATGACTCTGTTCCATTTAGGATAGAAACACGACGAACACGTCAGGTCGCCAGGGGACACCAACACCACCCACACTGGGCCACCTGTGGGCTGATCAATCACACCGTCAATCCAACTGCATTTCTGCTGCTGCCTCCTCTGTTGTTGCTCTTTAGTTCCACAGGTAAAGTAAATCAGTGTTTGAATGTGTTTGAATATTTACATTTATTTACAATCGTATGTCTGATTTTCTTTTGATATTGATATTGGATTCATTTATTTAAACTCGTCCTGTGCACTACCTGCGCCGAAGGGTTCACTACTTCAAAAAAATTTTTTTTCTAGCTTTAGTGAACAATACCACGTCCTGCTCTATAAATCAAATACACCCGTTAATCAATGTGATGACTTACACCTGTGTCGGGCAAGTATAAAGCATCAATGAGACACCAAGGGAATGAAGTGACTGTGAGGATGGAAGCAGAATGGAAGTATATCCATATGATTTTATGATCAGCGGATACAACATCCAGTCTAATGATGAAATTAATACCCAGAGATTGAGAGCTGACAGCAAAACACTTGGGGTTAAAAATAAAACAGTATTGATTAACAGTACTAAATCTGCTAGTAACAGCAGCTCTGTATCTTACAGTGAAATAGAACAAACCAGCTAACAGTAGATGAGCTAATAATGACCTCAAAACATACAAGCACCAAACACTCCTGCCAGTTAACCTGCTCCTGTCGTTTTAAGTTGTCGACAAAAGTTACAGCTAAAAATCTAGTGATCTCTTCTGTCCATGGCAAACAATGTTTATGCATGTGAGGCTAACAAGGTGAAACACAGCAGAGTAATCAAACAATAAAGAAGCCCTCGAGCTGACAGTGGTACATATGCCTGGGCTGTAGTGAAGTTACCAGGCAAACACCCACCGAGCTAGCAAATGGCTTTACTGGTTGGTTGTTTGAAAATGATTCATTAGAATTAAATAATTGCTACTATCTTAAGAATCCAGAATCTGTCAATGAATTATTGATGGTTGAGTTGCATTGTGGGTAATGTAGGCACCAGGTTTTGACTAGGTAGAAGAAAAAAGGACAATATCTTTGGCTCTGCTGCATCAGATTTGATCATTGAAAAAAAAAAAACTGTCCATCATGAGTCTGACAATGGAGTTCGCCTTTAAAGGTTTGAGCAGAGGTTTTGTTCACGTACTGGAGGGGGAGACTGGCAGAGCAGCTGGAGAGCCGTGTGTAGCCATGAAATCAGCGAGCTGTCTCAGAGCCCAGAGGTTGGATGAGCTGCCACCCTTCTTCATCTGTTCCTGGATCATCACATCCAACTCCTCCCTGAATGACTACACACACACACACACACACACACACACACACACACACACACACACACACACACACACACACACACACAGATGTTAATGTATACATGTATACATACATACATGCATTGACCAAATAATGTAAATAATTTCAGTTTCATAATAATGCTGAATTAAATGCAGAGTATGTAACTTATGCAGCAAGAGGTCTCTCAATCAAAACAATAACAAAAGACAGCATTGGGTGACGTCGTCAAATAGCATGGGATCATGGGAGTTGTTATCTTTCAGGAGGTTTTTACCAGGAGCCGAATTATTATTATTATTATAGATCTCCTCCTCTCCAAATCAAACAGTCCCACTTGTTATAACCGTTAAAAGCACTGAATAAAGCAGTTTCACATTAAAAATCATTGATTCAATGATGCTGTTCGGCAGACACAGGACATCTCGGAGCGGCTGGGAGCTGAGCTGTCTGACATTTTCTCAGCTTTCTACTCTGATAACTTCAGATCCAGACGTCCCAGGACTAAAATCCTTCATCTGGTTCAAATATATATTTGAAAACGACCAAGGTGTAAAACGTGTATCTTAAAAATTTAGCTTAAAGCTGGATTAAAGTAAATTTTGAGTTTCACCTACAACACTGACACGTGTGCATAGAGCATATGACGTCATTGACAGGCGACCGAATGAAACTGAGCATTACCATGATTAAAATCACACATTTCTCTAAGTTTGACTTCTGCTGGAAAAATTTGGGATAATATAATTACACAACTCAACAAAAATATATATAATATAGGTCTAGTGATTTTTAGACATTTAATGTGGAAAGGTTACATATTATAATTTTAAAGCCCTTCTGTGTAGGATTTGAAACTTTCTGGTCAAACCCTGGATTGTCTCAATTTTGTCAAACAAAAAAATGAATCTGAATAATTTGAAAAATGCTATAATCATAAAAACTCACGAGGGCTTTGAAGACCAGCACTGAATTACTAAACACTCGTGAACACTACACTACAGAGGTGAGGGTGAGTAAACATATTTAATGAGCCAGCCTCCCTCCATCAGTCCCTCTCCACTGCACATGGAGTCATGGAGCTTCACTGTTGATCACCCATATGCAGAAACACATAGTCATGCACTGAGAATGCAGTCCAGCACTGACTGCAGCCCGGGCTGTCAAGCAGCATTTGAGAACAGATTTACTCTAATGTGAGGAGATAATCACATCTGGGGGAGAGGAGACAGGGAGACAGAGACAGGAGAAGGACAAAAACAACAGATCATACAAAGACGGACGAACAGTCGTCTCACCGGACTCTGAAGGAGGCTGGAGATGCGTTTCTTATGCTGTGGTCCGGAGCCAGGCGTGGAGTGCTGAGGAGACTGGAGGCTCTCAGTGACTCCATCACTGGGGCTGCGCTGCACCGGGGTGCCCTTGGGGGTGGGGGACGTGCTCATCTTCTACTGTTTTATAGTGGGTGTCTTACAACCAGGTGTGGGTGGAGAGACCTGCAAAAAGACAGTATCAGTAACATTATAAATGCGGCTTAAACAGCTCCTACTTCGAGCGGTAAACACTCTGATGGGATACTACAGCTGACAGTTTTGGAAAACACCCTTTTCACTTTCTTTGCAAGAGTTAGATGAGAAGATCAATACCACTCTCTAATCTGTCCATTAAATATGAAGCTAGAGCCAGGAAATGGTCAGTTTAGCCCAGAGGAAAGACTGAAAACAAAGGGAAACAGCTGGTCCAGATGTGTCCAGAGGTGACAAAACCTACCTACAGCATCTGTAAAGCTCAATAAACAGGTTTCAAGTTTCAATTTGTTTAATTTGCACAGAAACTGAAGAGTGAAAATGAGCTTTTACAGGTTTATATGCTATTGGTCGTATGACTATTTCTTGGTCAGGATCAGTAACTTCCTGAAGTCTCCACCTGTCAAACGGTTGATTTTTGTTAGCTTTGCACAGAGCCAGGCTAGCTATTTACTGCTAAGCTAACCAGCTGTTGGCTGTAGCTTCATGTTTGTCATACATACAGTATGTGCTAGTGATATCAAGCTTCTCATCTGACTCCCCAACTGATGTTGGCTCTTAAAATGCTGCTTTGTTTATTCTGACTATTCTGGTGTTTGGGTCCTCTTGCAGAACTCGAAGCTACTTTTCATGACACCCACTGTGCAGCAGCATGTGACTACAGAAACTCCACTTCACCAGATGACATCCTTTGGGCAACAATGGCAGACAGGTGAACTGAAGCCAGCATTTAGCCAGAGTTTGGATTCAAGTCATTAAATGCAATCAACATCCCATTTCAAACCTGTGAGTCTGAAAACACAGTAAATCAGCTTGACAACAGTCTGGAGGTCGGCTCGAAGGAACATCAAACTACATCATAAGTCAGAAACATTTTATAAATCATACCCCCACACACACACACACACACACACACAAATGGAACAATTCACAGCAACTGAACCGGCCCTTCCTTATGTCAGGAGCTTCGGACAGGATGAATCAAAGGTTCCCAAAGATGATAACGATGATCTGAACACAGCACACAACAAGCTGCGCTGGGTGGATCGGCACACAGGGTTTTTTTTTTTTCTTTAGTCTTTTCTTCATTGTTTCAATTCACCACCTCCGTTATTGTGGCCTAAAGAATTTACCATAACAATATTATCGCAACATCTATAGAAAATTTTAGATAACTAAATAATGCTCTCTGTCAAATTCATCATTAAATTTGTTCATTGTGTTTTGTCCAGATGAACTGATAAAGGAGCCACAATGTCCATCATCTGCCATCATGGTATTATCATGCATGTGTTATTAATACCATATCAATATTTAATGTTCTAAATATCATGCTTATCGTCAATACCGGTATATCGTGACACCTCTAGTTCATACCCATGTGAAATTAACCCGAATTAGGTAAATGTACAGTTCAATAGTGAAGGGGCATTTATAATTTAAAGGTTAAAGACAGAAAATAAAATTAGGTTTTATGAACACAACTGTTTTAATTACACCAGCTATATACTTTTAAAGCAGCAACACAATCCTCTCCATGTGATACAACATTACCACCATGGCTCATCCTAAGAAATGCAAGTAAATGTGCGAATAAGAGAAGAGGAGGGAGAAGATTTTCTAATCTTCCTGAGTTTATGATGTTAAGTTCCTGCCTGAGGATACGCGGTACTCATCAGCACAAAGGGAGTTAAAAACTCTGAAGAGATCCGACAAAGATCAGCTAATATTAAATAAAAACTGTCAGTTCAATCAATATCATTATGTACAATTCAACCTCCAGGCCAATTTGTTTTGTATCTGAACATGTAAACTGAGTATACTGTTGGCGAGTACAAAAATGAACAGTATACTGGACATTAAGCCATGACTCCCTTGCATTCTCAAATGGCAGCGTTAAGATGAAAGACCTACCCTCACATTAATGATCCTGGATTCCTCGGGGGTCTGGCCAGTGGAGATGCAGAGCTATAGAAACGCAGCATTAGCAGTAAAAGCTCACATGCAGACAGCAGCGCCAGAACCACTAACAGGAAGTTAGCTGGTGATACGACTCGGTAATTGGAGAAAGAGTAAAGAGTTACTGTAAGGATCTTCAGAAAGAAGCTGGCCACTCCCCAAATGAAACATACTCAACTCACTCACTCACTCACACTCACACACACACACACACACACACACACACACACACACACACTGTGCTGCAGGGAGCAGATAAGGTCCCAAATACACCACACCCTCCCTCCTGTGCCACATCTGACTAACTGACTCAGTTACTTACTTACTTGATTTGTTGCATCGCTGTAACATATTTACTTGTACATCCCTGATCACATGCACTATCGGCCTCATCCCTCAAGCCTCTAACATAAGGGACAGGCTGTTTTTAAGATGCTCACTCCAAAGGCAGATGAGGAAGTTGCATTAGACCCATGTTCATTACTCAGTCTCATTGCATTGCACATGAGAAACGGACAGATGACTAAACCTTTAATGGTGTTTCTGGATAAACCGTGCATCTGTTCTTTAACATCAGGCTTCCTCGGCTCAAATGCACTGAAACATCACATCAGTCATCCAAAAACATCAGCAAAGGATTAACCGAGGCCCCTAAACATACACTGACAGATCAGTATTATGTTGTTTACAAGCCAAACTGCTCTCAGATAAAAACTGAATGTATAATAGATGGTGTTTCCTTTTTAATTTTTTGTTTCTCATATATATATATCTTTGTAATTAACATTTAAATGCACACAGATGGATGTATTTAACACGTCACTAATTAAAGCAGCAGTCGGTCTATGAAAGCCAGAATGTGAAGCGGCACCTCTCTTTCTCTCTCTCACAATAGAGGATGTTTCACAGTGTATATGACTCTCTCTCTGGGGGTAGAGGGAGCACAGCTGCTGACAGGCAGCAGACAGAAAGCCTCTCCCTCCAGGGAGGGTCCTAATGACTAAGGGGAGACATGGAGATCTGGCGGCTGGCCCGCCATCGCTGCTTCCTCTTATCCTGTGATGGCTGACAGAACTGATTTCCTGCCACTCTTTCATATCCTAGAGGTCGCTTCTTATTTTCAAATAAAAACCATAAAATGGCAATTATGTAAATTGTTTAATGCTTTAAAAAGCTTTTTATAAGTCCATCTGTAACCTAATTATGACTCCCTCACCTGGACTCATGGATCAGGACATTTCATACTGGCATGGTGGACATGTAGATTTGCTATAAGACACATCAGGCTTCACTCTGAGATCTTTAGCCTAAACTTCAAAACTAAAACCAAACTAAACCACCAATTTCCTATGAAATAGAACTTGGTGAACATTATATTCACATTTATAGTGACCTCAGAAAGTATTCAGACCCGTTAACATTGCCATTATTGTCCATCAATCTACACTCGGTGTCTCATAGTGACAGAGTGAAAACATGTTTTAAGAAGAAAAAAAAAAGCAAAACTGAAATCTCTCTCTGTTGGAAAAGTATTGGGACCTTTAGTTCAGTACTTTGTAGAAGCCTCTTTGGCAGCAGTTACAGCCTTAAGTCTTCTCGGGTGAGTCTCTACAAACCTTGCACACCTGGATTTTGGGCCGTTCAAGGACAGTCAGAGACTTGTCCTGAAGCCACTCCAGCTTGGCTGCTTCAGGTCATTGCTGTGCTGAAAGGTAAACCGAAAGTCTCATGTCATGTGGACTCTGGTCTTCTTTAAGGACCTCTCTGCATTTGCCTGCATTCATCCTTCCCTCAATTCTGACCAGTCTCCCTGTCCGTGCAGCTGAGATCACCCCCATAAACATGAAGCCACCAAGCATGGTGTTCGCCATTCTTCCTGTCTGGAGTCCTGCTCAGAGGGTTCAGTTTTTGTCTCATCAGACCAGAGAATCTTCTTCCTCATGCTCTCAGAGTCTTCTAAATCTCATTTGGCAAACTGTAAACAGGCTATCACACCTTTCAGTCAAAGTAGTGTAGCCACTCAACTATACGGGCCTGATTGATGGAGTGCTGCAGAGATGGTCGTCCTTCCTGCAGGTTCTCCCATCTCTGTGACTGTGACTGTTGGGTTCTTGATCAGTGACTCTGTTTGGCTGTGCGGCCAACTCCAGGCACTGTCCTGATGGTTTACAAACTTCTTTCATTTCACAATCATTACTGTGCTCCTGGGAACACTCAGAGCTTTAGAAAAGGTTTTATACCCTCGCCCTGATCTATGCCTCCCCATGATTTCTCAGAGGTCTGCAGAGAGTTTCTTGGATTTCATGGCTTGTTTTTACCTGACCTGCATTGTGAATGGTAGGACTTTAGGTGTGTGCCTCTCTAAACTCTGTCCACTGAATTCAGTTTTCAGGTGGACTCTAGTTCTAGACATGTCTCAAAGATAATTACAGCAAACACTTAAAGAGCCACAGCCAAGGGTCTGAATACTTTTGTAATATATATATATATAAATAAATCTTCTTCTTTTTTTTAAATGTCTAAAACCTTTTCGAAAATCTGTTTTCATTTTGTCATTATGACTAATGGGCAGAAAACAGCAATTTTTTTAATTAAACCTGTGACGGGGTCTGAATACTTTCTGAAGCCACTGTATGTTTGTATCGACTCTGCTGTAAATCTACCCTCTTGCAGTGGTTTAGTCTGTGTCTGAGCATCGACATCCAGCAGCAGGGAGGCAGATAGGGGTATAATTACCTAAGTAGCTCCGGATTGATTTTCTTTGGTTCAGCTTTCATTAGACTTATGTCATAATGGCTGTTCAGTGGATCCCAACCAGTTATGGAACTAGTTTTTAACAAATCAGTAACTTTCCGAACTAGTTTTTAAAAATAAGATAAAGCTAAGGAACTGTGATCTTATTACATCGTATTACAAACATTAAAATTTCCAACCTCATTCTATGATTTTATGAGCTGAAATAAACATGTTTTTAATTTTAAAACTTTTTCTAAATACTTGTTCAGATGCTGCTCTAATTGGCTATCCAAACTGATTACTTCTCAGTTAGTATAACTGAAACTCATTTTCATTTTTTCTGCATTTTTATTGGATATCATTTATTTTCTCACACAGCTTTCAGTCTTATATACCTGCCCAACACAAGACTAAGATAAACCTACACTAAACTAAAACGATTACAACACCATTATTTACAGTAACATAAAAGGCAGACATCTCTGCTGTATTCAACCCGAAATAAATGCACTCATTAAGTCAAAACATTTGATAGAGTGTCTTGCAGAAATGCAGGATACACAAGATGAAAATGCATTAATGAATGTTTAATGAAGAAGTATAATAAATGGGGTCGACAGTGCAGCAGGACATTCCTGACTCTACAGCCTCTAATGGATAATTTGGCCTCCACTTTGGCAAACCACATTGAATATAATAAACAGTATGACAATATACAAATGAAAATGCAGCATGAAAGAATGGGGGAGAGATGGAGTCCACTGTAGTCAAGGGAATATTAAAGTAATTTTGTTTACATTAACTACAGAGTAATATTGTTTGATTATTCCTCATGTGACAGAAACTGCAAAACAGTAATGAAAGAACTTCAACAAACTGTGAATATATTCAGCTCATAAGCTGTATGGTGTTTTTTCGGTCAGTGTTACATATTTACTAATCATTATCAATTGTTTACTCCCTCTATATCTCATGTTTGGTTTCCAATAGCTACAGATTACTACAAGTTCAGGTGTTTTTGACTAAATAAAACAACAAAATCCTGTAAGACTTGGGCAATTTTTACAAGCACAGTTTCTATAACTAGATCAATAAAAGGCTTGATTTTTGTAAGATAACCTACTATATGAGAATGTATAGTGGGCTGTTAATTTCTAATAACATCGACTTTAGCATCAACTTCTTCGACATCACTGTGGCTGCGATCCATCTCAGGTTCAATGTCAGCCATTGTGCTTCGGGATTTATAAAATAAATAAATAAAAAATATGTGTACCTCATACACAGCCTACTGAGTCACATGGGGGAGGACGAGGAGAAAAGGCCTATTGATCAGTAAGTCATGTGAGTGCAGCACACAACACTGAATCTACAGCCTCATATTTCAACCTGAATACACAATATCGTTTTATGGGTTTTTTTTTAAAGCATCCTCCGTTCCTCCACCCGCTAGCGGCCCGCGCTCTGCATGGCTGCCTAGCAACACTCGCACGCGCTGCAGCATCAGCACCAGCAGAGCGGAGGATCAGCTAATGGCCACCCGCAAAATGCAGAGGCCAGCGGCGACGGCACAACACTGCACGCCTCTCCTCGGCGAATTCACAACCATCCACCACGTTTTCCAATCATCCAAAGAGCTCATCATGTCCAACATACTAACAACAGCCTTCAGTGTCCGCAGCACAAACAGCCCGTTTGACCGTGAAACAACAAAAAGCATCACGGGCTCGTTATTGAGCGACATGAGACTCTGCATGGCTACGGCACCAGAACACTTGCAGAGTCACCCTGTAAGCAGACGACACAAATGAGACTCTGAATACATCAGGCCTTCACCGCACAACATAAGACGAAGCAGTATGGACTCAAATCTGTGCGTGAAATAACTGTGCGTTTACTTTCATATTTTATACAAGCATATAATAGAGTCCATCCGTAGAGAGCGTGCAGGCTGCACCATGAGCAGGAACAACACGGTAAACAGCGGGCAGTAAGGACAGCATCGTGTCAGACTGAGACTTCATCAGTGAAATGCGCACACACCGCTCATGCACGCGGCAGGGAGGACCCTGTCCTACGCCCAGTCATTTAACCATGATCGCCGTGTTCGACACAACTAAACAAATATAAGCAGAAGGCTGCTCACCTCAGTGCATCCTCGGGACCGGGTCTTCAGTGTGGGTGCGGCACACCCACAGCCCACAGCCGTCCTCAGAACGAGCAGATGTGCTTGATCACAGATCAGTATTGGGTTGCGACACCAGGGCTCCTTTGTCAGACTATTTCAGGGCCTCAGCTGATTCCAAGTCAATGGACCCTGATGTTTTTCATCGCACAGTGCGCCTGGACCAGCCCACTGCCACGCCTATCCTCAGTCTGACACCCAAGGGTTCCCAGTGGGAACCAATGTCAGCGATGCACTTGGTTATTGTATTTGTAAAGCCTACGTACAGCTCTGGGGGGTTTCTAGTGCTGTCTCCTAAAACGTTGTGTAGTTGGCAAGGCCCAGTTCAAGTGGGACAAAACACATCCCGTTAAAAAGGCGCCACCATCTGTTATAACGGAGGAAGGCCTGTTCACCGGAGTATGGTGGTTTAAAACATGTTAGGTGGTTGTTACGTTACAATTTAGACAGACATCAACAAACAGAGGTAGAAAATTAACCAATAGGTTTTTAAAATATCGATTTGTATTCCCATTTCCTGCCACTTAAAATCTTTACTCCCCTACTTCTTATACAGGGAAATACCATCAGTATATCTCTGCTACATTTATTCACTTTGCTGATAAAGACAAAACACTATTTAAATGGATGAGATTGTTACACACTACACTACATTTAAATATTTAGAATTAGCTCCACCTCTACAAGGCACAACATAAAAATACTACTTATATTTCAGTCCTATCTCAATATACTGTATATCACACTCTGTGAGCGGCATTCTGCATAATGTGTATTTGTATTTTGATACCATCGGAAGTTTGGCTGAACATTTCAGATATCTAAATATTAACTTGTAAGTACTCTTACAGGCTACTGGGGTATTGCTACTTTATTTTTATTTAATTTTTTATTTAATAAAAAAAATGATCTGCACTAAGTGACATAATGGATGAAATAAAACGTATTACAATGTGAAATTTCCACATTACTCATGTATTCTGATGTTTCCAGTTGCACAGTGTAGTAGTGTTAGCAGTGTAGCTAGAAATTAAACCTGAAGTTAAAACTTTAAGCAGGAGACAACTTGGCAAACAGACTTTAATTATATGGGCAGATTCTTCTGGAATAAATTTCTATCTTCAATCAGCACTTCATCAAGTTGATAATTAACAAAGGTTAAATGCAGAAGGTACATATTAGACTTAGAAAACATAAAACACTTTTAAATAGAATTTACAGGAATTGAAGGTGTCTTGTAAATTTAAGGGCTGCCAAGGATACAGTTTGTAAAATGAAAATAAAAACACATTTATATATACTCCAACAAAATCTACATTTGAAAAATAAAATTAAATAAGACAACTAAAATAGGATTTTTCTCAAAGACGATTCATTCTTCAATGCAACAGGCCCCTAAATAAATAAAACAAAAGTTACTTCTATTAAGATTACAGGTTTATTCACCAACAAATTTCTCTTAACACAATGACTACATTCACTGACTTACTGATAGAAATGTCATCCTTGATCTGAAGAGGGAGGACATATCTGAAGGCATGGGCGGTGTCTGAAATCACTCAGTTCACTATGTAGTGCCCTATACTATATTTACCCTTCACCATTTTATCCTTTTTAAATTAGTCCTAATTCTGAGTGAAATTTATGCTCCATATAATTCCCTCAAAAATCCCCAAACAGAACAAAAGAGTAGTGCATTGTTTGCACCCTGTGGACAAATCACATATTTTGTTGATTTTTTTATGTGAAAGGAGGTAAATACAACCCATACAACAAATAACTGATAAACTGATACTGATATACTGTACATAGGAACTTCAGAATAAAGAAAAATTAAAACTTAATTAACTCATCAGGACTTGTAAGGCAGGTCACATAATGATTTGTCAGCTGCTGATAGTATTCCAGAGCTAATAAATTCTCTGACTATTTAAACCTTGAGCTCTTCTAAGCAACTGAAGGAGGATCTGAAAATGAAGCTTACAGATGGCTGTAAAAAAAAAAAAAAAAAAAAAAAACAGCAAAAAAAACCCCAAAACAGTACCACATTACTGTTTCAATCCCATTTTTTAAGTTCATGAAATAAAAAAAACTTACATTGCATGAACAATTAAAAAAAAGTCAGATTTCTTTCAAATACATTTGCTGCAAAAAGAGAGAGATGGTTATTTGTATTTTGTAAAGCCTACGTACAGCTCTGGGGTTTCTAGTGCTGTCTCCTAAAACGTTGTGTAGTTGGCAAGGCCCAGTTCAAGTGGACAAAAACACATCCCGTTAAAAGGCGCCACCATCTGTTATAACGGAGGAAGGCCTGTTCACCGGAGTATGGTGGTTTAAAACATGTTAGGTGGTTGTTACGTTACAATTTAGACAGACACATCAACAAAACAGAGGTAGAAAAATTAACCAATAGGTTTTTTAATTATTCGTAGTATCATTTCCTGCCACTTAAAATCTTTACTCCCCTACTTCTTATACAGGGAAATACCATCAGTATATCTCTGCTACATTTATTCACTTTGCTGATAAAGACAAAACACTATTTAAATGGATGAGATTGTTACACACTACACTACATTTAAATATTTAGAATTAGCTCCACCTCTACAAGGCACAACATAAAAATACTACTTATTATTTCAGTCCTATCTCAATATACTGTATATCACACTCTGTGAGCGGCATTCTGCATAATGTGTGATTTGTATTTTGATACCATCGGAAGTTTGGCTGAACATTTCAGATATCTAAATATTAACTTGTAAGTACTCTTACAGGCTACTGGGGTATTGCTACTTTATTTTTATTTAATTTTTTATTTAATAAAAAAAATGATTCTGCACTAAGTGACATAATGGATGAAATAAAAACGTATTACAATGTGAAATTTCCACATTACTCATGTATTCTGATGTGTAGAGTTGCACAGTGTAGTAGTGTTAGCAGTGTAGCTAGAAATTAAACCTGAAGTTAAAACTTTAAGCAGGAGACAACTTGGCAAACAGACTTTAATTATATGGGCAGATTCTTCTGGAATAAATTTCTATCTTCAATCAGCACTTCATCAAGTTGATAATTAACAAAGGTTAAATGCAGAAGGTACATATTAGACTTAGAAAACATAAAACACTTTTAATAGAATTTACAGGAATTGAAGGTGTCTTGTAAATTTAAGGGCTGCCAAGGATACAGTTTTGTAAAATGAAAATAAAAACACATTTATATATACTCCAACAAAATCTACATTTGAAAAAATAAAATTAAATAAGACAACTAAAATAAGATTTTTTCTCAAAGACGATTCATTCTTCAATGCAACAGGCCCCTAAATAAATAAAAACAAAAGTTACTTCTATTAAGATTACAGGTTTATTCACCAACAAATTTCTCTTAACACAATGACTACATTCACTGACTTACTGATAGAAATGTCATCCTTGATCTGAAGAGGGAGGACATATCTGAAGGCATGGGCGGTGTCTGAAATCACTCAGTTCACTATGTAGTGCCGCTATACTAATATTTACCCTTCACCATTTTATCCTTTTTAAATTAGTCCTAATTCTGAGTGAAATTTATGCTCCATATAATTCCCTCAAAAATCCCCAAACAGAACAAAAGAGTAGTGCATTGTTTGCACCCTGTGGACAAATCACATATTTTGTTGATTTTTTTATGTGAAAGGAGGTAAATACAACCCAATACAACAAATAACTGATAAACTGATACTGATATACTGTACATAGGAACTTCAGAATAAAGAAAAATTAAAACTTAATTAATCATCAGGACTTGTAAGGCAGGTCACATAATGATTTGTCAGCTGCTGATAGTATTCCAGAGCTAATAAATTCTCTGACTATTTAAACCTTGAGCTCTTCTAAGCAACTGAAGGAGGATCTGAAAATGAAGCTTACAGATGGCTGTAA